AAGGACCGATCGAGCGCTTCAGGGCAGCATGCGCGCTTTCCACGCAAGTGTGGTGACATCATCATACGGCTGTTTGTTGCGGAAAAAAGTTCATGAATTCCTCTTTCCAAGACAGCCACGTTTCGTCAACATATAGAAAGACCTGAGGGTGTGATATGCCTTAAATTTTGTGCATCTTTTGACATCGATCTTCGTAGGTCTCTAGACCATCTTGTGACACCAAGATGTTGTACTCTTTGAGAAAGGTATCTCCAGCATCAGTAGTGGTGCAGGATTCATGTGCTTGGCAAGTATGTTCTCTGATAAAGGCCACCGGCAAACTAACCCGTTCCCGGTCAATAAGACAATGCCAATCTTTATTATTAAGGCCAGCTCTCGGTTTTTTACAAAGATTCTACAAACAACACACATCTCGCAAATTTCTGTTGCATCTTCCGCATCGCCAAGACGTAGTGTGTATCTCCTTTTGCTTGCCTCAAACAGTATTCCAGAGTAAAGGCTTGGTCGGTGCTGGTATTTCGACGACATGAAGCGAGGGTTGTGCATATCTTTAACGTTCATGTACATTCCAGAAGCCACACAATTCCGGCAGGATATCCGGTACCTATCTCCTTTGTCCATGGGGTTCGAAAGAAACGTGCGTCGATTTAGGCTCTTCTTCTTCACGTGCAGTGTAGTATCTTACGCCTGAAGCAACAAGGCCATCAGTCAGCTTCAGGATAAGTGTTCTTTCTTTCTTGTAGCTTTTCAGCGCGATCATTGTTATCGATGTTAAAATATCTTGAGCAATGAAATTTATGCTGCTGTCATTGCGGAGAGAAGTGACAAAAGTACCAGGTTTGACACCAGCACAGGTCAAGAATAGGACTCTTCGTGAGCCTTCTCTTTCATCGTTGTAGAAGCGTCACCAAAGACTTCGTGATGTGCATCCCTTAACGAGTGTTACTTACCAGCGCCTATCTGCGAGTTGAATAACAGCCTTAGATGGCATCCAGTGCTTCTACTGGAACTTACATGTTGATTGATCTCGCTGCTGATTTATCGTCAGCAGCAACTGGTTTGGGTCTATTTTCCCTGTAAACATTGTACAGAAATGTCTTGCATGCGCCGTATTTTCCGTTACCCACCCCATTGGTACGCTTAATCTTTTAAATATATTCTTCAACTCCTGCATGGTCGCGAAGTGCATTACGAGATTTCTCCAGTGTATCGTTGGCAGTTTCAGGAGATGACTGTAGAGCCATTTGAAAATGAATGTGCACGATTTTAACGCGTTCAAACGGCTTCTTGAAAATCTGAAAAAGTCGCGTGTATGCGAAAGAAAAAGGGGTGCGATGATTGCTTTGGGATTGGAGGCGAGCATTTCGCAATATGTCATCGTATTATGGACAATCAAAAACATGGAAATCATATCAATTTGTGCAATACATCAGGGGTGGTGGGTGGTTTACAAAAACCTTGTTTATTGCAATGGATCCCTTATTTTAAGATAGATCTAGTTGAAAATTTTGTATACGGGTAACGTTTGGTCTTTATTTCGCCGGTGAAATGCGTATACCACGGGTATGACGAATACAATACGGATCTATCTGACATTTTCCAGAATTTGCGCTAGTTGTATAGCCGACATAATTTTAGAATTTGTTGATGGCAAACTTACGGTTTACATATTTGCGGTGGTGGTCTCCGTCATTGCGGTCTGTCATTGCGGTCTGTCAAATATGGCAATGACAGATCCCACCACCGCAAACATTTCACCTGCCCCCCACCCTTATTTAGCAGCCTGTCGGATTGATCGTATGCATTGTTCAGATTTAATATGAACACTTTGCACACCAATTCGGTCAGTATCTTTACGCTCCTTCCAAATCCCCTTGCTTCAATGGGGTAGCAATTTGTCCCTTCATGTCTCAGGAAACGGAAATTGTGGATTTGGCCAACACACTGTGGTCAATTAAGGCTAGTCAAGGATTTCAAACCTTGTCATGAAATCCCCTGCTGGTTTTTCCTTGTTTCACGAGTTCGGAAGATAGTGATCCATCCAGAAAAAGCATCCGTCAGCGCCAAGTGCATCCGTCAGGGTTTTAGTGATAATTACGGTGTGGATTTATCCACTGTAGAGAGAATTCTGATGAGCGCTGTTGTTGATTACACTATCTTGTAGTTTTTCGCGTCGATGATTCCAAACTTCTAATTAGTTGATGGTCCCCTTGATCGCACGCAAGCATACCTATTATGCTGGTTCTCTGCCGATGGCCATCGGATTGGTGCATCTTGCAATCTGCAAGGAAAATCTTCAGTGCCGCCTATGTTTAGCACTTGCCGTTGATAAGGAGGACAACAAAGAGTTCACACGGGTTTTAAAGTCAGAAATAGAACAAGGAATAGTGCTCTCTCTCATCCTGCGCATGCAAGCAAAAAATGCTTGCATGCGTACTACTCCTTTTTTTAAAAAGCACTATTTGTGTGCGAATAAGACGGAGGACCAGGGCTGACAGTGCGATATTGTGCCGGTCAAAAGACACGTTTAATTCAGTAAAAGCTTCACTAGTTAATTCCACAGTACACATTCAATTCATTTCATCCCCATTCTCTCACAGCATCGACCATCGTAAAGCGGCAGATGGAACTAGCGCTTGAGCGGTCAAATAAGATCTTTTGCGGCAAAGTTCTCAATGCGAAGGACGTGACGATTTTTCTTTTTTTCTTGGATCCATTGATCTAGTTTTTCTAGCAATATAAGAGAACAAGATCCGGCGTATACTCATTGTATTTGCGTGATGTGGTGCTTTTTATTTACTTGTATGGTTTATCGACTAGTTTCGGTGGCACGGTGTCACATAAATATATGCTCGCATTCGTTTGTAAATCTACTTTATAGGGGTGCTATAAACACTATTTATGAAGTCGGATCAATTGAAATATTGTATAGCCCCATACCATGGCCCAATGTAGCTGATTACTTTGGTTCTTTCCGTAAGGAAGTATGAGGCTTAAGGAGCCTCTCAGTTTGAATCACAAAGCGATCGAGACTCAGAAAATTGCCTAGTTCGTAAAAAGATAAAAACTGTAAAGAAAAACAGTAGTAACAAATACTCATCAGTAGCCAAAAGCTCCGATAAGGCTTGCACAATTTTAACTAAACGTGAACCTATTTTGATCTGAGGAACATGTGAGACAGTAAATCTCGTTTACGTACATTCGATAAGATCTTTATACCCGCCAATGAAGTCGATATGCATACCTGCGTGGGGGCAGACAGGTGTCACAACCAACTAGCTTCGTACTCTGTACGACATGTGATAATATCCCCTCGACCTTACCTCATGAGGTAGGTATTTTGTGGCGTTAACAATCTGTACGATCGTTACCATGGGCCTCATGTATACAATATCTTATGCGGTAATTGTCTCAGGCAATAGTATTTGCTGTAGCAACCGACGTGTACCTACTAATATCCGATCACCTGGACGAGTTTGCAGCGTAAACTTTTGCGACCGACCGACCAAATACTTCACCATTCAGCACTTTACAGCGTAGACGCTTTATTAATCAGTACGAATTCGCGTATCGCAAAGCACCAGTGGCCCAAGACCTTTCCACACAAGCGACAGGATTTTGGCATGTATTCTATGAAGCCCACTATTCTGTGTACATCAAAGCTATGATGGTAAAAAAATACAAGCGATTTTCTTTTTTGATTTCATGACAGACACAATTTGATAGATACACAATATCAGGTTCTACATCAACTGCTGCGTCTCGGTAAAGTCTAAATTAAACAACGAAAGAAGTGCTGCGTAGACACCGTTGGACATCGGGCTTGACCCAATGGCGAGCCATGGAATAAACTATATCAGCTGCCGGCTTGCGCTTGTAGGATAATCAGAACAAGATACGCAGCATATCTGCTTTAAGCTGTCTCATGCTGGATGTAGGCCTTTCAATCACATCTGGTGACCAGCCAGGCTATCTTGCACCATAGGGCTTATACAATTTCTTGCTTTTTTAACTTGCCTAATTGTGCACCAAGGAATTTCTGGTTGGAAGCAACAGTGTAATGAAGGACGAAGTTGTCCGAGCCCTTGACTGCGAATCCGTGTGAAGCTGCCCGAATATCCTCGAGCGTATCATTCTACTTACCGTTCGAACTGGGTTTGACGGACACCAATGTCGGTTTTCACTTCGTTGCCTGCAGCCATCCATCACGCCTATCTGATTAGAGCCACCAGCGTACTCTTGGGATTCCCGGTCAATCTCCAGTGATCACGGAGTTACTTCTCCAAGATTTATACCCAGACCAGTGCGAACATGGTCAGTCAATGTTGCCAGCATTTTAGAGCAGTAGATGAGAGCAAACGGATGTGGTGTGTCTGTTTCTACTGCCGGTCCTGTAAGAGCTATTCTCGAGGTAGACAGACAAGGAACTAGAGCTGGACAAGGAACCTCAACAAACTCCGCAACTCCGACCACCTTCAATAAAAGAAGTACACGGATGTGAAAAAATCGTTTTGAAGCAGATGACTTGTTTGAACAACCGTGTGTCGCGTTCAAAGTATGCAAAGGCTCTTTGAATCAAGCGATAAAAAGTACGGCTCAGAAAACGCATATGCAGCAAGTGCGAAGATACATTAGTCGTTCACCTCCCGGAATGCGGACCCTAGATAGAGAATCGCTTTATCGTCCGGTAACGTGCGTTAGCTTTCACTTCTTTGGGAGCACTTTACTCACTAACCTAAGTTGCGTTGTCATGCTTATCCTCTTTCCATGCATGTTGGCCCGCTATAGCCTGGACTGTGACCCCCACTTTACTTTTTTGTTAATTGACTAGATCGAGTCTCGCTTTACCGCTCGAATTACCGCGACCATATGACTTTTGGCAGCCCGATCCGTGATTAAAAAAACTACTGTGTGATCGATCGAGCTTTGGTAGCGTGTTTTCATCCAATCATCGCTCTGCAATACTGCAATAATGGTCCACTTTTTCCTGACAAGTTTGAATGGCGCAAAGTGTGACCTGCTACAAGTGTGGCTGCCTCAACTTCAGCTCCAGGCACAACGTGTGCGACAACTGCCGGTCCAAGATGATGGCGTCCAGTCACAACGTGCTGCATCTCGCAAGCGAATCGACTGGTTCCAGTAGTGCCTCGAGAATCAAGTCAAGTGCAGTTCCCGCGCGCTCATTGGGTAGAAAACGAAGACTCGACGAGATCCTATTGGCTGCAAAAGCAGGACCCGGCAACTATCGCCTGCCCGTAAAAAGTGCTTTTTATAAAAAGCAGCAGCAGTCGCCTGACGTTATTGACTTGATCTCCGACGACGACGAGGAAGAACTGGCCAGTGATGGACATTCTAACAGCAAGAAACAGAAGAAGAAAACGGCGATTACAACAGTCGATGACCGAGTAGAATTAGCAAGTGCGACGCTGTTCCAGAGTCGCGTGTTCCCGGTTGTGACGTTCGTGAGTAGCCACTTCCCTTCAATTGAAGACGGAGCTCTATTGAGGAAGCAAGCGACAGAGACGCTGTGTGCGGGATCTGAGCCAAGTGGTGAGACAGTGGTCGCCATTGAACCGCCAACAAGTTGCCAAATGCCGGCTCTGCGGGCGACATTGGCGACACCTGTGTCAACTTTGGAAGAACTCCCGGAAGCAAGCTCTTCGCCCATGGCAGTTGTAGACCCGAGACCTCAGCCAATTGTGGACTCAGATCCAGAGCCGGTTGCAGTTGTGAACTCGAGACCTTTGTCAGTTGCAGCTGGAGAGTTCACACTTCAGTCAATTCCAGTTGTGGAGCCGAGCCCTCAGCCAATTAATGCTGGGAAATCTCAGTCAATTCCAGTTGTGGAGCTGAGGCCTCAGCCGATTCATGTTGTGGAGCCACAACCTCAGTCGATTCCAGCTGTGGACCCGAAGCCTCAGCCAATAACAGTCGTGGACTCAAAATCCTCGCCAGTTGCAATCGCGGACCCGAAACCTTTTCCGGTCGCATTTGAAAAGCGGCAACAGAAAGCGCAGCAATCGACGACGACAGTCGAGACGGTGTTGAAACAAAGTGACGATTTGGATGTGACGAAAACAAATGGTACCGTGAAGCTTGAGACTGATGTTGGCACCGTGTGTACACAAGAAAAGCAGAATGTCCAAGCTGAGAGAAAACTAGAAGACTCGTTGTTCCGGTCTCGTGTTTTCGAATCTATTGAATTTCGAGCAACAGATTTTGTGACTACGGCACAAGTGTTGGCGACGGCGAGACGAAGTCATTTGCCGAATTTGAAATCCGCGGCATCGGTAATAGCGTCTGTGGAAACAACTGTATTAACGGAAGATGGGTATCGTCATGCAGATGATTTGATAGGACCGGTAGAAGAGGCAAAGGTCGCATCGCCGACAGCTGCGTCTGTCGCCGTCGGCACAAGTACGACAGTTGCTTGCGCGGCAGGCTCAGCAAAGATTATGAGCTCGGATAGTGTTGTACCCCCGCTGGTGTCGTCTACGACTCCTGTGGTTACAATATCTCTAGAATTGTCGAGCGCGTCTCCAAGTTCAGGTGGGTCCCACCCTGTCGCGAATTCGACCGCGTCGTTAGTACCAGGGGCAGCATTGCCACCTGCTGCTCTGAAGCCAGCAGTAAAGGAACCCACCCGGGAGGTGGCAGTTCCGCCAGTGAATTCGTCGTCGTCACGAAGTCACGAAGGATACACGCCAAGCGCAGCTGTGCAATCTGTAGCGCCGGCAACGAAACCTCTTCCATCGGCTGCCGAAGTAAACATGAAGCCAGCAATATCCGCATCGTCGACTTCGGAGTCAACGTTGGCAGTCGAATGTGGAGCAAAAGTAATACCGCTAGTGTCAGCTACACCACGGGCCAGTGTTGACGTAGCTACGAAGGCGGCTCCTGCGTCAATGACACGTTCCGAACGGACTCAAGCAACTGACAACGCAAACGTGCTGTTACCTCAAGAGAAGGGTCCTGAAGATAGTCGTCGATTTACTGGTGAGCAATGTGATCAACAGGCATCGCTTGATGGGACAAATGATATCCCAGGTGCAGATGACGAGCTTTGTCGTAAAGCCTGTGCAGCACCACCTCAAATGGCTCAAGTGGATCCCCCTGTCTTGGGATACTGCAGCCCCGAATTCTTGGAATTTATGCGCGAGTGTGGAAACGCTGGTTTCGATGAAGAAGGCGACCCTAACGACGTAAATCGCTTACAGCTAAAGCTGCTGGATGTCGTGGACCTCACAAGTTTAAGCAGCTCAGAAAATGGTGATGCAATTTCGCCTTCGTCGACTCCGCGTGTCGGAGGGCTTAGTGGGCACAATCAACGACTGTGTCCGTCAAATAACGAGACAGTCAAAAAAAGTGGGCCTCAGTTTGGCTGACGAAGCCGTAAATGTGTCAGGACAACGAACTTGGTACATTCCGACGCTGGAGAGTGAGCGGAAACGGACTCAGCCAGAGAAGGTTATGTGCGAGTTGTGTGAGGAGGACGGAATCGCGTCTAGACTAGTTCGCTGCCCGAAGTGCGCAAAATATTATCACAAGAAATGTGCGGAGGAAAACGGCGACGAAAGCATTTGCTGGAACTGCGAGCTTGGCTCGATGATTGATGACAGTGAGCTGGACAAAGAGCATGCCAGACATAACAGTGAATATTTAGCGTATCTAAAGGCAATCCGTTGTTCTTCAGATGGTGCTGACGCTGAAGACGAGTGGGTTTCTGAGGACGAGGACCAAGAAGGTGACGAAGTAATGACAGAGGTGAAGGCTGGAATGGCAGCTGTAGCAGAAAGTGGAGAAGACAGCAATGCTGTCATCGGAATGCAAGTCGCGAGTGCGGGGGCGAAGATGGAAAGAGTTTATTGGAGATGCTACAGCTGACATTGATGCTTCTTATACTAAGGTCATGAATCGCATTGCAGAGGAACTTTGCGACAACAAGAAGAGACGCATATACTCACGGGGCTTCGTGTCACGGGAGGAATTTGAAGCGCAGATGACTGAGGTTGAGGAATATTACATTAACGAGGAGGCACGGCTGCAGCAGCTGGAACGGGAAAGAGCGCTCGAAACCAAGAAGATGGCTGAAGCTGCGATAGAGCAGGCAGAAGCGGAGCGGACGATAAATGGTAGCCAATGTGCTGGCAATAACGCTGCTGGTGACGACCAAGCCATGGCGTCGGAAATATCTGTACAAGGTTGTAATGTTTCCACCGGCGACATCCTTCCTATTGCCGCAACTGCCAGCCAAATTTCACCGAGTGTCGCTCCAGGATTGTCGAAAGACACCGCAGCGAACCACTCAACTTCGGTCCACCTTTCTGTACCCGTTGCGGCACAAACGACAGTTTCTGCACCGCTTGTACCAGCTGCTACTTGTGCAGCAGCATCCGAGGTGATGGGTAGTGGATTACCGGTGGTCCTTGGACAACCGCCATCGACGCCCTTGTAATAGTGTGCTCTAAAAATGGGGTAACGCAGCGTCAGGTGTTGACGACTATACAGGGTTCAAGCACCAGGCTACGAACGTTGGTGTAGTGCCCGAAGTTCATCGTAAACTGCTCGGTCACAGCAACGACAGCCTGAAGACTTCAAGTTCTGCTGAACGACTAATGACCAACTTAGACGCCACTTGGCAAGATCAAGACAACTGGGCATGTGTCGTTATAAACAATGACACCATCGATGATGTCTTACAAGTCGTCACAGGACAAGAACAAAGTTGTCAACGACAAGGAAGCATGGCAGTGTCTGCTGCTCTTATTGCTCGCTTGAAGTGGGTAGCGATGAGGTGATGCCGACTTTCGGATGTCTTAGTATTGCTGGACGTTTGCTGTTGCTATCGATGCAATGCGAAAGATGCTGACTCAATCGCGAGGCCTACACTGAAGATGTAAACAGCAAGTGCATTTTAAGACAGTCGACGGACATTTCAAGTCAAATTTTGCGGGAAGGAAGGCGACTCTGTTGCAGCACCGCGCGTATTTAATGTACGATAGATGCAATGAGTGCAATTGCAGACATGGCTGCTGTCTTTTAAAGCAGTAGCACACCTACCATAGTTGCCTATTTTAGGTATCAACTTGCAGGTAAAGCTGTGAACCGCAGGATAGCGTCAAGAAAATCAGTATAGTTCAATGTCACTTTATGAGGGGAAAAGGGAGGTGTTCTCTATCCGGCATCAGTCGTCCCTCAAAAGCGTCTTTACGCGTCAAATAGAGCACTGAAAAGCCTTTATAAAGAGTAGATCTGTAACCTCCTCCCAGCCGCGCCGTACCCACTGCTCGTAGCCACGATGGCGGAGGTTCGTACCTACAACTCTCTGTCTCTTTCAATTGCACGCTTTGCAACGACGCCCAATCGGGTGGATAAGGGAAAACAGATACGTGTGTGTGCGTGTTTTATACTGACTTTTTGTATGGGATGTTGCGCTCACGACACAGTCGAAAAAAGGGGTCAAGCAGGCCACGATCAGCGCGTTCTTCTCCCCAAAAACGACTAAACCGGTATCTGAGGACAAGAAACCGGTGGAATCAGAACTCAAGAGGGTATGCGTTAAAAGACCGCGGGTTTCGTCGGTTGATGCTAATTCCGAGGTTAATTCCGAGGTTGTTTCCACTGATCGAGTGCACCTTGCAGTACAAAAGCAAGTCAAACCAAAAGCTTTAGCAAAGCTGAAAGCCGAAGCTACGGGTAAAACAGAGCCGATGTTGAAGGTCAAGAAGAAGAAGAAGCAGCGGCTCGTGCGCTTTACGTCTCCCCACGCGGTGACTGCCAAAGACGAAGAGGAGGAGCAGTTTGATGAAGATGATGATGATGTGTTTAACACTCCTGAAGCCAAGAGAGCTCGAGCAGAATTGGAGACGGGGGCAGGAGTCGTTCCTGCTGGAGCTCTCATCTTGGACGATGCTATTGTCGAGGAAGAAGAAATTGTCACGATTGGAGAAGACGATGGTGTGGTAATGGGTGAAGAAACGAAAGGTGTGGATGAAGACGCTGCTTCTGGCGTGGTCGATTCGGCTATAGTTCCGGTCGTAGATGATACAGCGGAGATAGTAGCTGCAGAAACAGATGACGACAAGAAGACAAGGAATTCAGTGACGACTAATTTGTCCGCTGTGAAAGACACCCAAGCAAAAGCCATGTCGATGACGAAACGGCAGCTCAAGGTGAAAGAACTAGCTGCAGCTGCTGCAGAGTCAAAGGTTGCTCGTGTGGAGCCTTTGGATCCGATTATACAGGCTCGCGTTGATACGTACAAGATGAAGACTGATGAGCTCACAAGTGTGTACAGAGAGCTCTCACTGTCGGAGCAGGAAAGCGATGTGATTATGCAAGACATTTACGGCGTTAAACTAGATTACGACCTGGGTGTCATCGTGGACGAGAGCAAAGTGCAACAAGCGCTGATAGAGACGTGGCAGAAACTTCAGGATCATGCGCGCTCTATTCCTGACAGAGCAGATGTGGTCGTGTTGCCCGCTACTGTATCATTTCCCCATGAGGTGAAGTGTTTTATTGTGAGAGCGATACAGGGTCGATCTGCAAGTTTGTCAGCGGTGTCGCGAGGACTTTTAGCCGCATTTAAGAAAACCGTTGAAGTGGCAAATTGTGATGTGGGAGAAACAAAAACTAAGGGTGGATCTGGTGTAGACCTTGCGGCATCGTTAGCAATGGAAATGGAGATCAAGATGCTGGCACAACGCACACCACACGGTGTTCGTCCTGCCAAGGCCAATGTTTATGAAGACACTAGCGTCGCCGCATTGTGGGTGTGGGAGGTCGGCAGCTTAGAAAAGTACTTTGGAGATGAAGCACAAAAGATGATTAAGCGTATGCGCAAGCATCGCAAGCGTCTTGGGCAGCAATTGAAAGCATTGGCAAAGGTGGTCCAACTTTTGCATCAGAAGCCTGTAGATGAGACGAAAGTGAGTGCTGAAGAGGCAAAAGTTGGAAAGTTTGGGCTTGTAGTGGCTACTGAATTACAAAAGGCGAGGGACAAGGAGGTGAAAATGGTAGAGAAACGCACTGTTGCTGAGGAGAAAAAGTTGCTGGATAAGCGCCGTCTTTTAGAGCGTCAGGAGGCAAAAGATGAGGAGAAACGGAAACGTGACCGCGAAGTGGAGGAGAAGGAGCTCGAGTCATTCAAGGCACAAAAGAAATTCAAGTCTTTTTTTGCAGCTGCTGCAGCCAACGGTAGTGGAACCTGTGACTCCATCACAGATGTGACAGGTGATGACGATGAATTGCAGGCCGTCCATCCAGAAAGTCGCAGCACAACGATTGCTCGCATGGACGCAGCTATTGGCTTTCTGGGTTCAGCGGCGAATCCGTCACTCGGTGATCCACCAGGCCCATCGTTTCAATCTAGTGTCTCGATGCTGAAAAAAGGCAAACGAGGTACTACCAGCAATACCGATCTGACTTCTTCTTCTTCTAGCTGGAGTGGTCGGCGCCATTGCGACCCCAAGTTGGGTGTGATGAAGTTACTACAGTTTTACGAGAACAATCGGCCAGCATATTACGGCACTTTCAGCAAGCGAAGCCGGCTTTTCCGTGGTGGTCGCCGTCCATTTACGCAGTATTCCAAGTTCGACTACAGTGTTGATAGCGACGATGAGTGGGAGGAGGAAGAGCCGGGCGAGAGTCTGTCTGACGATGAAAACGACGGCGACGAGTCTGATGAGGATAATTTGGACTACGATGACCAGTGGTTAGCTTATGAGGATGAGGTGGACTATATGGATGATGCTGATAAAGAGGCAGATCTGATAAGCGGTGAAGCCCTATCGTCACCGACGAAGCACAAACTGCCATCGCAGCTCGAGAAGAAACGTCGAGCAGTTAAATCAGCCAAGCTGGAGCCCCAAATTATTGGTCCGTTCTGGTGCGTCCATGGGGGTGACAACTGTACCGGTGGCCATTTTCCAGAGCTTGCGGGTGAGCTGTTGAGTGAACCTGCGTTCGAATCCAGTTTGATGAAAAAAGCTCGTGAGTACGAAGAAGAGCAGAAGCGGATAGAAGCCGTGCGTCAAGCGCAGCAGCAGCAGCTCGACGATGAGCGGCTGAAACAGGAGAGGCAGAAAGCTCAAGGCAAGGACAACCAAGAGAAGACAGGGACAGCTACAGCCGCTCCCGAGACGCAAGCTGCTTCGTCTCTTGTGCCACAGCAAGCCAATGCGATCAAGACGTTGGCTTCTGTTGAACCAACGCCTGCAGCAGCGTGTCTACAGTCGTCACCACCCAAAGCGCCGAAACAAATCGACTCGTGGTTCAAGAAAATTGCAAGTCCGGTGCCGACCGCACCGCCACCAACGACTGCAACTTTAACACCGACAATGCTCTCGCAGTTACCAAGATCGGCTCCGCCTTCTTCTGGCGACAAGACCAAGTCAACTGACGAAAGCAGCCCAGCGATCGACGTTATTGAGGTCGACGGTGACTAGTCGTACCACTCCAGTCGAAACGCGTAACGACTGTACCGACCCGAAGAGTCGCGTCGCCAACACCTTTCGAAAATGTCGCGCGAATGTACAGTCCCCACGACCTCGTTGTTTTTTTGCACCACTCCCACGTCGCCGTCGTCGTTTTTCTAAGCCAATCAAAACACAGCGTCCGCGTCCCCATCCTCTCGGACCCTCAGTTTTGTTTTCGCCGGGTCTAGAATCGTACTTAAGATGACTCTTGCCCTCCGCACCACTGCGCCGCTCCGTTTGTCGCTTGTCCGCCTTACTGGGCGGCGCGCTTTCGCCTCGACCGGTGGCATCCCCGATGACATGGAGCACGCCGTGGGGCGCGAGCGCCAGGAGCTCGAGGCCGCCACGATGGGCGTGACGCAGTTCAACCGCGACCCGCTCGAGAGCGACGAGGCGCAGGGCAACTCGAAGGACGACCCGATCCTTGTGCCGTCGTTCAATGACGTGCGGACCGTGGGCGTGTCGCATAACGACGCGTCGTACTTGTACTGGTTCAATATGGTCAAGGGCAAGGTGCACTACTTGCCGCAGATTGAAAAGTACTTTATGCTGTACAACCCCGAGGAGCTGGCGCAGCTGGTGAAGGAAGTCGAGGCCAAGCAGCAGTGACGGCGGTGGGGGTAGGGCAGGTGGTGGATGTCCCAGTTTGCACGGGATGTGCTAACGAACTGGGAGATGGAGGACATGTGGTGTGCATCTGGTGTGGTGGAGGATATTCGACTAAGTACGATGACGAGGGCTGGGCGGAAAAAGTTGAACGGCTGCAACGCAGGGGACAGATGAACATTATTTTTGGAACAGAAAGATGATGTTTTTTTATTTTGGGGTTTTATCGGGTTTATTTTTTCGGTTGTTCGTGCTTATAATTGTTTTTATTCTTGTGGCCGTTTGTTGACAAGGTTTATGATGGAACACCATACCAATCTTGGTGTAGTGGGGTTGTCTCTATGTTCGTCCATCCTGTTCTATGACTAAAATTGCAGCACGCTATCGACATTTTTACACCGACCTACGACAAACTGCAACTGATCGTGGAGCTGCCGTGATCGGATCTGAAGTGGTGACCACTAGCACATTCCTGGGGCATAACGTCACGGGCAAGGACAATGGTAGTACTTGCCGTACCGTTTCTACGGCACCCTGTTGCTGTTATTGCAACGTAAGTACTGGAATGGACCTGGGGCCGCTTTTAGCGGATGTGAATGGGGCTGAAACGCTGCAGCTGCTGATCGTTTCGCTCTGAACGTCGTGCGAGACGATAGGGGAGGAAGTACGGGAATTTTGACGTTTTCCCGTCCACGAGACACGATTCCCAGCTCGGCTTGCAAACATCTGCCGTCTGAGGTTGTACATGAACCTTTCGAGTGCTGCACTGGCCGTTGAGGATCTTGTTCGGAGGAAGCCCAGGATCCAGAACTCATGGTTTCGTCACTTGGTGATGTCGTCGCAGCAGCGTCGCTCGATGTCGTTCTCGTTGTTGGACTCAATGCGGATGTGACCGGTTGTGGTGCACACTGCGTAGCCTGTGGCTGTACCGGTGACATCGGCTGACCCTTCAGCGCACCATCAGTATCGAATGGAAAGCGCCCAGCAAATTTCAATAAATATTTCTGAGCGTGAGTTCGCGTTTGCACAGCACTGCGTGTCTTGACCACTTGTGCAACGCGTCGCCAGTCTTTCCCGTACAAGCGAATGCCCTCTAGAAAAGCAGCATGCTCTTCACTGGTCCAACGCCCACCTTTCGAAGGACCAGTGGTAACGGTACTTGACGAAGAAGCTGGACCTGACGTACCCACCATCAGATTTTCCGTCTTGACAGTCGGTGTTACGGGGGGCACTGGTTTGAGGCAAAGCATGCGTGTCCTGAGCGAGTTGTGGAGACAGTTGAACGCTCAAAGGAAGTTGCCAAGAAGCCCATAATCCTTCGTCAGTGGTGGAACCACGATCCATTACTGAAGAAGGTGAGAACGTCTTGGGACGCATGGGATCATCCTTGTTTGGGTCTGCAATCACAGCTTCGCGCTTCCTTTCCAGGTTTGCAATCTGATCTCGGTACTTATCACGCTCACTTCCATGTGCACTAAGCATAGCAGCCTCCATGGACGCAATACTCTTGGAGAGTGACCGAATTTGACGATGCGGCCATCTCTTGATACCATTACGACGACAAATTTTCTTCATGAGCGTAATACAAATGCCAAAGTCTTTTGCCACATCAATGATCGGTCGATCAAAGTGTGCACGAAGTTCCTCGATCGAAATGTGTTTGGTCACTAAACTCTTGACACGATTGCTCTCGTTTCGAAAGCGGTGACTAAAGCCCGCGTCATCGGTAAAGTCGAGCTTGCTGCCTTCCGGGCCATCGAAATTAATTTGCTGCACGCGGTGCATCTGTCTCCCGCCACCGGCCGAAGCAAGAAAGTGACAGCGACGTTGCGATGCATTTTCATCTTCAGCGTCCACTCCCTCGACCATCTCGTCGACAACATCCGGGACAGCATCTCGTGCCATCATCTGCCCAGGTGAGAAGCCTTTACTCAAACTCGTGAGGATCATAGCTGTCTCCTCTGGATTGAGACCTGAAGTCTCGGCTTCTATCGTCGTCGTCATTCCATTGGACTGAACACCACGACAGCGCTCATCTGTTTTAGGGAGCAAGACTTCATGGTCTTCCGTCCCCGTCCGGCCCTCGATGTCGCATGCCATGCCCATTCTCCCCCTGCCTTGGCCCGTCTCAAGGTACAAGGGAGAGATCCAGCTCCTCTCGTCGCTCGCTTGCGATTGAAAGCAGTGAAGCCTCCTGCGTTGTTCCGTGCCTGTACCATGAACATGTTGTCCATGCAGGAAGATATCTTAGTCAACTGTAGCCATCGTGTCAATTTTGTGCACTGCTAAAGATCGATTCGAAAGGCCGTGGCGTCCCAGGAGCTCTTTGACAAAAGGGGAGAGAAAGCTTGAAAGGGCACACACATGGTGGATGCTCGCCGCATTGCCACCTGTTTTCGATGAATCGTTCTATGGATGGAGAGCTGGATCGATACATCTACGTGTGAGTATACCTCGTACCTGTTGCCTTTTTGTCAAACTTGGGGCGGGCGACGGTCGTTCGATGGTCGACAATGGGTCGATTGATGGCTGCGTGGGACTTTATTGTTTTCGATTGCGACTGTTTGTTCGTTTGTCGATCTGACTGACTGACTGTCTGTCTGTCTGTGGCCTTTGGCGCACTGACCAGTGGATCGACACGAGAGTCCAATCGTCAATAATAGAGAGCAAATGTGACGCTTAAGTAAGCGGTGAAGCACGAGAGGTTGGTTGGCCATTCGATTGCAGAGGGAGGGAATCGGTACAAAGTATTTGATTTTAGAAGTCTTGGCGAATTGGTCATTTGTCTATCAAGAAGCTCAAGGCCATCGTTACATACTATTGAAGATTGGCAGTAGACAAGTATTGTAGCGACTTTGGTTCCTTATGTCGTAGCTACTCGCGTCTGCGCTTTCGTGCGTTTTTGTTATTTAATGTACGAGTCATTTATGCATGAGTCTAGTTGTTGCTTTGAGCTTTTAATGGTGTCATCATGCTTAATTTAATCAGTTGTTTACCCGTATGCCCGGGCCTCCGACACTCTATGTTCATACTATTAAGTAGCATCCTTGCTGCCGTCACTCATTCAAGTAATGAGCGCCGACTTTAAATAACGAGATGTGTGCGGAAGCTAGACATAAACGCATCACGCTGTAGCGTGCGTCTTCCACTCATCCATTTCGACCACACAAGAATCTCCACACCGGCTGCTTTCACTTAACGACCGCTAGCACAGGCACTTCTGGTCCAATAGACACAGATAGTTGCCTGTGCCACATGCGTATGACAATACCAACTGATCCTGAGGGAATGAATGCACTCCATGTGCAGTCTTCCACTGAAAACCGACCAAGCCTTGTACATTCATACGCTCCATTTCAGCATGCCAAACGGCTCCATATCAAGCATTTGCGACTCCTCAGCTCTCCCAAACTCTTGTCACTGTCTGCCACGTAATGAGGATGGATTTGTACGGGCTTGTACTATGTTAGCTCTACCACCTACTATTCTAGCATGACCCAAAGATCCTCAAAGTTCAGCCAAATATTGACACACGGAGTGACATCATACAACCTCCTACAGGTCACATCAGCTCATTTTTAGACGAATCAGGTGCCGTTCTACATAAACTGTCCAGCGCTATGTTTGACAACCCACCCCCCTCCGGCTCTCGAGTGTCACTTTTGAAAAGCTCCGGTACCCAGCACATCTGAAAGTCTCTGATACAAAATGCGGCTTTCAATAGCAGCATTTCACTTCCTCGTTGCAGCCAGTTGTTTACAGACCCACGTTCTGTCGTGGGACCAACAACCTGATGGCTACGAAGTGATTGACGGCCCTAACAACTCGGAAGCATTGTCTTCATGGCGTCAAGACTGGACCATCTGGAAGAAAATGGAGCTGAGCAGCAACCGGTATAACCCATCGGATGCGTGCAACGTTTACAACATCCTGGAAACGCAATGGACGCAGCGGAACTTCGTGCAAACTTTTGTCATGCTGAATGATCGAGCAATCTACGATCGAGAGACGCAACAGTACACGGTGGACAAGTACGTGGACGAGATGGAACAACGTGTGGGCCCTATTGACAGTGTCTTGATCTGGTCCGCATACCCGAACATTGGGATCGACAATCGAAACCAATTTGATCTCTTACGAGACCTTCCTAATGGACTTGAGGGAGTGAAAAAGGTCGTCGCGGATTTCCATCGTCGGGATATTCGGGTCATCATTCCATACAATCCGTGGGATATTGGCACTCGAGATGAATCGGGTCTGGAGGATACAGTGCGGATGTACACGGCCGACATTACCTCACTAACAGAGATCGTGTCGGAGCTTCAAGCTGACGGGTTCAATGGGGATACCATGTACGGCGTGCCAAAATCCTTTTTCAACTGCAGTAAACCACTGGTTGCAAGTCCAGAAGGTGGGGTGCCGACAGCATACCTGAGCCATAACCCATTGAGTTGGGGATACTTCGGGGGCTACTCGCACTTTCCGCCGGTCGCTCGGGCCAAGTTCCTTGACTCGAGACACATGGTGCAAATTTGTGCACGATGGTCGCTGGATCGGCTTACGGAACTGCAGACAGCGTTTTTCAATGGGGCAGGGTACGTCGTGTGGGAAAATGTGTGGGGCATCTGGAACGCAATGAATGAACGTGAAGATGAGACTGCCAAGCGAATGTTCGCTATTTTACGCAAGTTCGGACACGTTGTATCGACTGGAGTGTGGACTCCATACTACGCAATGAAAGATGACGGACTGTTTGCAAGTGCTTTCGATGTCCAAGAGAATGGGGAATCCCTCTACACAGTGATCAGTACAGTGCCTGAAGACAGGACATTCGAGTTGCCACTCACCAAAGAACAGTCTGAAGATGGTGTTCGTGTGTATGACGTCTATCACGGTGTAGAATTACAAAAGCAGCCAAGTGGCGTGAATGGATCGGTCGTGACGGTAACGTTAGAGCCCCGGGCGTTTGGTGCAATCTACATTACAAGGGCTACCGACGACATGACTCAATTTTGTAGTGAGATGCAAGCTATGACCACCAAAGCACTTGCAGACTACTCTTCGACGCGAAATCTGCTTCAACAGCAACTCATTCGTAGCGACCATGCGGAAGCAGAAGCTGAGTCGAGTGTTGATGGAATGGTGCGTGTGTCTGGGATGGACAATTGGTGGTTTAACGTCAGCGGTGTACAGATTGAACCCGTGTTAGCTTGGACGCCGAACTCGGATCAGTTTGGCACAGGAGTGCAGTTTCCATGGGAAAACCGTCCCTGGAACAACCACTCGACGAGATTGTCCATTCAAGACTTTTTCCTTGACGTCCATCCTGTGACCAACGCTCATTTCCGGACATTCCTCCAGTCAAGTGGCTATCGTCCCAAGTCAATGGAGCGCTTCTTGTTGCACTGGGAAAATCGTCAAGGGCCTTTAGCATCATGGAGTATTCCGCCTGCATTGGAGCAAAGCCCTGTCGTCAATGTTGCCCACGAGGATGCTGAAGCTTATGCAAAGTTCTACGGGAAGCGGCTTCCGCACGATTGGGAGTGGCAGTACGTTGCTTCGAACGGAGAAAACTACGATGCCTACCCATGGGGGCCCGAGATGGACCTCAACAAAGTGCCAAGGGTTTTTCATGGGAAAGAATTGCCTGCACTGAGTCCCGTTGGCTCGTATGCGAACTCTCGCTCGACGAAGTTCCAAGTGGAAGATCTCGTCGGGTACGTGTGGCAGATGACGGATCACTTTTGCGACTCGCACACATGTGGACTTCTCCTCCGAGGAGGCAGCAGCTACCACCCGATATCAGCGACGCATAGTGACCCGAATTGGTACTTTCCCCCAGACGCTCGATGCCCAGCACCACAACCGCTTTCTCATGATCAGCGAAGGGTACGATCGCTCTCCAATGGTGGGTTTTCGTTGTGCGAAGAGCATTGCTCCATCTCGAGCCATGAATTGACCGATGAGAACGTTTCGGATACACGAAGAAGAAGAAGAAAAAAAACAGGTCTTCCACACCTGATGACTGTGTACGAACAGCTCAAGCTATAGTGCTTCGGTTTCTGCATTTCTTGTACGTTTGACTGTTGGTTTCGACTTGAACCTCTCTGGAAAAGTCCGTGGTAACAACTCAGAGTCAAATGACATCCAAGATCCGAAGAATGCAAGCTCCGACTTGACACTGTTGCTGTTGCCCATCGTTTTGTCGTTACCCAGTGCTGTCTCTCCACCATTGTCGTTGGATTGCTGAGCGTCTCCGACGACATGACCGCAAGCAGTCGCTTCTCTTCCTGGTATCGTATACCTGAAAGTCCCTGTCGCAAAAAGTGTCTTGACGGTGCTTCCCGTCTCTTGCAGCACTCTTGAAGCGAAAGAGACTTCAAAGTGACTTCATACCAACGACTTCGGCTATTACCACCTTCATCACTTTACCCCATGACAATGTTGCACCTTCCTCCGTCCTATGCTCGATTCCGACATACCAACGAATGAGCTTCTCACCAACTAATGAAACTCGCATCAAGCAGTCAGCGAGTCACTAGTCGATTCAGCCAACCAACCTTGGAAATCTACCTTCCCACATGATCCAGAGTTATGAACAAGCCTACGACTCCTCCAATTCACTCACTACCCCAAACACTACAACGTGCGACTTTCTCAGTGGGTTGGACACGACAATCCGCGACACTTCAGTCGCTGCTCACATGATTTGCGCTTCCTATCAATTGGGATGAACCACGGAAACAAATGATGCAAACGAGCAGCTACAACTGGTGACTGGAGGGGATACCTCACTTTTGAGATTTGCTGGTTTCCAGCACCTGATTCGTCTTTGGGCGTCCAGGCAAAAGTGACTGCTTCATTGATATCCAAAGGTGTTCGTTCAATCAGGAGGTTTGCCATCTCGATCCGGATCAAGAAATCCGGTGCTGCCTCTCGGATATGAGCGAGTGTCAAGATCAAATGCACGAAGAAGAAGGAGGAGAAGAAAGTGTCGCGATCGTGACCAGAAGATCGAGGCAGGGAAGTTGTTGTCACTCGACTCGAGCCAAGAAAGTCACGACGACCCACAAAATTCGGGCATTGAGGGAGCTGGTTGCGTCCATGGAGAAAGAAGTTCAGCATCTGGAATCCAAGTGGACAAGTCAAGTTCGAGATGACCGCGTGCTTGCAATGGCTCGACGTTGTGCTATGGAGAAATACACCGCTCATCAGAGCGAGAATATGCAAGCTCAGCTCCAGGATCTCCTTTTTCACCAGCAGTTTCGGTTCGCATCGCTGCAAACAGCGCTTTTACGGGCTCCTTTGCATTCAAAGGCAAGTGAAGTGTTCCATGCACTGCACTTTGACACGCAATTGAGTCAACATGAAGACGAGCGGGAAAGGAGGTTAGTGGCTCATAACCTACGATCGCTTTCGACGTTGCCAAGGTTGGTAAACCAAATCACCCAAAGGATTCTACAAACCACAACAACAGGAAGAGACCAGGTGACGTCCAGGACGCCAGTATCCCAGATTGATATTGCTGGCTGCAGAGACTGCACTTTGATATCCGGGATTTTTGTCTCGGAGATCCCGTGCACGTCGCTAGAAGTGGTGTATGCAGCCGTGTTGGCGTATTTTGACTCCGTAGCAACGGCGATGAAGAGCCACTTTGACATTGAGACGCGGCACCAGAAATTGAACAGCATCGAGTCGCCTGTGCACTATCAGCGGTCGTCGTTCAAGGGACCAAACGTATCATGGACAGAAAACAACATTGTGTGCTCGGAACTCACGCCATCGCATGGTATGGTGCATATTGATGCAGTCACGGACGATCCCTTGTATTCAGTGTCCAATACAACTTCCTCACGTTACGGAATCTGCTGCCTCACTCTTTCGCCTCGGAAAGATCAGATGACGGGCAAAACGCTGTCTGTGACGTTGCGGTGGGTCGTCGCATATTGCTACAACAGGTTGGCTGATGACCCCGAGATTGAGAACGAAGTTGAGACGATACGCCCGATCTTGAATGGTGATCTCATAACTGCTTCCATGTGTCGATTTCTCCAAGAGGTGCAACAAGGACGCAGACAGATCTTACATCGACAAAACTGGACGCTTGATGAACAATGAGGTGGGTGACTGTGATTGGTGATACAAGATGAACCTCACGAGTATTGACGTGCGTGGCATATCCTAGGGTGCAAGTTTGTTGTACGCGTAAAAAAATTTTGTGATAATGATGGATCTACACACGTTCTTGTTGACTCTGTGGTTCATATAGTGATGTAAAGCTGCCGTTGTTGTGACGGACTTTGGGATCCAGCATGAAGATGTGGCCTTTGGATGAACTGCAAAATCGTAATGTTGGCCTGCTCGACTCCTGTCTTGGCGGTACCGGTCCGCATTATTCAGGCTGTTACGGGTTTATGTGGTCCAGAAATCTATGGTATAATGAGCAGGTAAGCGGTAACACCAAAACTTTTTTTTAATACATAGCACCTAAGCTTGACATTATCTCTTATGTAATAAAGACCTTCAGATTTTACGACGCGAGTTTGATCATGTAAATATAATGAACACAACAGTGTTGTTCAGAGCAAGGAAGCTTTCCCTTGTGTGTACTCGCTACAACGATACAGAATAACACAAGTAGACGCATTGTGCTGTCACTACAAATTCGTATAATTTTCATCGAGTGTTAGCCTTTTAGGTATATGACAAAGCGTCATAGGATGTTCGTGTTTGGATCGTCGATACCTCGTCCGATGTCTTCTCAATATTGACATTTCCATTTATGCGAGTGCGTATACGATGACAGACCCATTTTTCTCAGTCATGCACGTCTCGCAAGGCAGAATAAAAGTGCTACGCGTAAGTAGGTGCTCGCAAAAATAACACAGACGCACACATTACGCAGAAGAGTAGATGTGTGTTCTTTAGCTTGTCAGTACTCCAGATTTGATTCAAACTAGCACGCTTCCAGGATCATAGTTGATGTCAATGAAGTGTATAGTTTCTCAACAATGTTTGAAGCCGGTACTTGACCTTTTGACAGCAATTTTGAAGACATTGTATACAAATACATCCGCTATGAGTAAGCAACTGTCATAAAAACAAATGATGTTGAACTGCCATGGCATGCAATCCCATTTGTTTCATTTGGTCCTGATTCTTCTTGTAGACTAGCCAGCAGTTTGAGACCATTTGTAAGTATGTTTTGTTTCACATTGCGCGATCCCATAACTGTGACGCAGAAGTCGCAAGTAATTGAAAACGTCTTGAAATGACCTACCATCCAAGCTCGCACCGTCTTCATTGTTTTTCTTCTTCATCAGGCGTGTGCTTCGTTCCTGCATGCAAATTCTTGGGCCGCTTTTTCATTTATACTAAAGCCGGGCGTAATGTCCTTGGTACGGTCGGATAGCAGACTGGGACTGGTTGTAGTCATCGGGTACATCCAAGATCGGATCCAGCGATCGCTCGTGCCGAGATGCGCGTTTGCGTCTGCAGATGCAGCGAAAGAGACACGAGACGGCCGATATGGTAAGTAAGAAGACCAAAATGGCCAACACAATAGCCAGTATCATCGTCAGGTGGTCATTGCCGTCGCTTCTAGAAGTGACACCGCCATCATTGTTGCCATGTAAACCATTACTTCGAGAGTCATCACGGGACGAAGCAGGCAACGAAACGGCTTTCGATCCTGACGTACACGTGCTGTTTTCCTTGCAGTAGAACGTCACCGACTCATTGACGTTGTATCTCGTGTAGAATGCTTTCAAGAACGTTCCTCCGATGATCCACGTATCGGCATTTGCACTCGTGCCTGAGGCTGACTGCACTTCAACGACCATGACATTATTTCCCAGATCCATCATGTAGTCTTCTTTTTCCAGATAAAACGTCACGTATCCAAACGTGAGTGCAAGTCGCGGGAGCGCAACATCTTTCGAACACACGTAGACTTCAGAGCCAGCTGAGTACAGCGTGCAACTCGACAAGTATCTTGTGACAAAGTCGCTGTAGATCGAGCTAGGCATAACCAGGAGCGAAGTGCCAGAGTCCACGATACTATCGCAACTTCCACGACTCGATTCTGAGCATGGAAACACCGCTTCGTCCTTGCCAATCTGCAATGCTGTCATGCCGATCGTCCAATGAGTCAAAGTAGTCGACTTCAGATCGATCGTATGCGGTACGAGATCGTTAGTCGCGATCAGGTCGTCGTCAACACCATTAAGGAGCAAGAAACTACCCTTGGCATCATCCTTTCGAGTCAAGTACATGGAGAAGTCCGTCACATAGTCGATAACTTGTCCGCGAGGAGATGGAAAAGTAGCGAGCGAACGATATGCCAGTCCAAAGAGCCCTTTTGCCTCACCTACCAGTAGTGAAGTGGTGCTGCGAGGGCTCGCGTGATTGCCATAAGCTACGCCCACGCTGTAATCAGGGATCGCCACGTTGCCAAACTTCACGTCGGCAATGGTTGGTAGGACGCAGACATCACCTGAGCCGTAGGAAATGGTCCTAGCACCTAATGGACACGTCGAGTCACAAGGTAGATACTTGATACTGTAGCAAGCGATCCAGAGATCAGAAGACCCGGTATCGACTTGCACCACGTACGTCGTGCCATTAAGTTCTAGGTCTGCAAAGTAAATCGTTCCCTGGTAGTTTACCAACTCCACGACACTGGAATCGTCCTTGGCACTTGCTACGAGGCGGCGCAAGTGCGTGTTTTGTAGCGAATCGTGCCACATTGGGACTCGTTCGAGCGGGTTCGAAAACGTCGCCATTGTCCAAGGTGAGACTTTCGAGAAAGTCAAGAAGTACCACTTGGACGCGACTACTTCTACACTGTCAGTTGCAGCGCGGCGACAAAGGGCGTGGGTACCACCTCACTTGAGTTCCGTATGTGATGCCCGCACACTTGATGCTGCAACTTCCGTCTCGAAGGTGCGAGTTTTCAAAGAAAAGAGCGACTCTAGTCGAAGAGCTCCTTGAAGTGTAATCTGCCTGATGGGTTGAGGGATGACGTGACGATGGCGCGTAGACTGAACTGCAACTTGTTTCGAGTCTATTTGGATGCGACATCGATGTTGAATCAGCTCAGCGTGACACTTGTGATTATGACACATAACTGTGTGACGCTTGATGCATAAGGCGCCCGGACCCAAGAAACACGGCACGTTGTCAGCGAGTCGCATCGTCATCCTTGCACACTTGGCTCTTTTACACTCACCCACCGTGCTTGTCAGATTCTCTAGCCAAATTGTGCGAGGAAATGTTGAAATGGCGATTCCTTACAGCAGTCGATACCTGAACGAGTCCGAGTGCCACGCAGTCTGCTGCAACGTTCGTTAATCTTTTAAGTGACCAACCACTGACTATTTCATGTTTGTTAGTTGTTTCATACGCAGATCGATAGCTTTCGAGGAAGAACGAGGACAAAACTAGCCGCGATCCTGTAGCAGGCAGTGGCCCCCTGCGGTCTATTGCAACGCTCTGTGGTTTATCAGTAAGTTAGTAACATTATTTTTGAACCTACATCTTCAGCGAGCAGCGAAGCGACGCGAACTATAATACGACCGACTAGATTATTCAGCGCAAGCCGTCCTAGGCGGTACATGTTAAGCAGAAGAGCTTATAGTAAGGCCTTGTACACGGTGACCCGTTTCCCGAGTCATCGGTAGTTTTTGCAGCAACGTGTCACCAAGATGGCGCTTACAGGCGGGACCGACTCATTTTAGAATCCAGGACATAATTATGCACAGTAGACGAAGCAGCAAAATATACGACATAGAACAGACATACGACAGATGGCCTGAGCACCACGTACTCATGCTCTCAGATCTAGGATATGGTCTATTTTAAGTCAGAGATGAACTAAAAAAAGTCTAGATTATGCACCGCTTGAAGACTAGCGACGTGATTGTCACGAAGATCAGTCCTCTACAGGTCAACGCAATCAAGAAAGAGTCGTGCGATCCCTTGCGGGTACAAGGCCAAAGAATACCGTTTAACATGCGTATGATCATGACGTCCTGCTAGCATGACTGGACAATTCTGGCGTCATAAAACCTGCTGCATCTGTTCTAGATCATGGTGCAGGACTAAAACAGGACCAAATTGAAGCTAAAAACGATCTTTGCTTCGTGCCGTTAGCAAGGATTGACAATGGAAAAATGACTAAAAGAAGAGTCTGGCACCTTAAAATACCATGAACAATGACGTCGAACAATCGCCAACTTTCATATCGGACATTGTCGTGGTAATCATCATTCAGTTCAAAGTTGTCGAACAGCTTTATTAACAATGTCCTCGAGTCGGCCATAATCTATCGAAACGTCACAGTAGCAGAACGTCGATGTTGGAAAAAAGCAGACGGTACAAAGACAAGTGCTTGATACCATCGTGCAGAACGAGCTGCATCGGCTACCTCTGAGGAGCTGGGAAGACCATGGCGCTAGGAAGCAGCAAAGATTCCGCTGGACAGGGACCACGCAAAAAGCCGGTCAAGTGGAGCTGAGCTCCTCGTGAAAGTGATGGCGATACCAAGTCCATCTTCACTATTGACTTGCACCATGTATCTGCCGGGTAAAAGCTCTCGGAAACCACTTGGACTGGTGCTTTGCACAGTCCTTCGATGGTGTGTCGTGGTGGCCACGTCTCCAGCAGACGTCTCCATTCAGACGTCTCGCTTCAGGTCTCTCTCTCGAACACTTGTCTTGATCAGTCCTGTGGTGCTGTTTGCGACTTGTCGCTGATTTGCAGAGCTTCAAACAAGCAGATATCAAGGAGGTAGGCGGTCAATCCCCAAATAACGTGCGGGCCGCCCGTGAAGACTGGAGTGGCGTTGCTGTGACGAATCCAATTGTCCTGGTTCATCAGGTCTCGCACCGGCACGGTAAATAGGGACTCCACTTCAGCTTCGTTAATGGCCACAGTCTGATCACTCATCTCGCCGATAAAGCCCACAACCGGAGTCACGGCAATGCCTGTGATCGACGTGACACTCGACCAGTCACAGCGAAGGATACCTAGTACGTCCACACCTGTAGGTGCTAGCCCAACCTCTTCGTTCATTTCCCGGAGACACGTGCCTTCAATGCACGAGTCGGTTGCATCCACCATACCTCCTGGAAAGCATACTTCGCCCTTGTGCTTGCCAACAGTGAGTGAGCGCAACGTAAATAGCACAGACGGCTCGCCTTTGAATGTACATAGCGGAATGACTACTGCTGCTCGTGCCGAGTATGCTTTGGTAATCTGACGTGGGAGTCGGCTCAGTCGCTTGCGAATACGTTCAAGATGACGTGGCCCAAATGCTTTAGCAAGTGGCGTCTGCCTCTGAGTCGTTGGCTCACGCTGAGCAAAGTCTACAGCACAAAAAGCGAAGACAAATTAAGCCACCACAACAAATGAGGTAGCCGACCTCCAGCAAGAACCTCACCATGATATGGCTTCAGTACAGTTTCCAGTTGATCAAACTTGCCTTCACTCAGTAGCTCTGCACAGAGCCATAATGTATATTCTCGATCCTGATAAGCAGCAGCAAGTGCTGGTGCTGTATAATTGTTTACAAGGAAGCTCGCATCCATCCGTGGCTTGTCAAACGCACGAGAAAACAACTTGGTGTCTCGGACTGGAGGCTCCTCGTTCTCGTCGTGGGCATTCGCACGGCCTTCAGCTTCCACATGCTTTTTGACTTCCGTCGTCGCAGCATCTTGGTGACTGCTGCTGTGGTAGTACAAATGCGACGGACCAGTGGTAGCCAAGTGCTTTGACATGGCTACACAAGGAGAAGCCGTCGACTGCTTGTCAGGTGACTCCAAGCTATCGAAGGAAGCGGAAGACGCGGTCGCAAAGACGCGACGCAACGTCACGGACCGGATCGAGACGACAGAGGGCAGCGGGCAGCACCGCATATGGTGCATGACTAAGTGGGGGTGACTCGGCGCTGAATTATCAGCGGAAGCGTCGGCTTGAGCTGGTTTGCGTGTGATGGATTGATAGTTAATGGAAGGTTGGCAAATGTTTACGTGGGACACGATCAGTCGATTTTTGCGTGAGTTATCGCGATATTGTGGAACCGCGTCAGCTTTACTGGTGTCGTAGGTGGCTTTTGTGAGAAGATGTAAGCATGTGATTGGTAGTAAGAGGTGGTGGGAGTTTGGTTTTAGCCAATTGACGAGCGTAAAGTGTGAACATTAGCAACAGTGGCTGGCTGCTGGCTGCTGGCTCTTGTGTGATACGAACGACGGCGGGACTGTAAATAGTGAGCGCCATGTCGCATGGCGCCAGCCTTTGCTTGGGTGAAAATGAGAGTATCTCAGCCAATCGAACACGCGCTGCGTGGAATGTGGTGTGTCACACGCCAATGTGGTCATGACGAATATGCCATTATCAGTCAGTTTATATAAAATGCAAAAAGTGAAGGAAAAAAAAACACAAGACCTATCCAGCAACCATCATCTGAGAATGATGTCGGCCACATCCACTGCCGCCGTCACAAACCTTCCAAACAGCCTGCCTCCCGTTTGACAAGCTCTCTCCTCCAGTCACTCATGCAGCACAAATGCCGAGCGGCCGCGAGCGAAGACGTCAACAACGCGACGCCATTGTTACTTCACGCGTACACGCACGACAGTGTCCAATCAGACTCGACCACCGACGATCTGCGGATGAAAAACGCTCCAGAGGAGTGCAAAGTCGTGGTCAAAACCGAGCCAGGTGTCGAGGCGTTGCCGCCGTCGTCGTTGACGGTAGTTTCTAAAATCAGTACTCTTTGTTTGCAGGGCAATGGTCCGTCGTTCGAGACCGAGGCTCCTGCATTCGACTCGGTTCCACGTGCCTTTTCGAATTCGAATAGTCAAACCTACGATACTGACTCAAGTAACACCATGAGCGACAATGACCCGGTACCATTTTTAAATTCACAACGTGTACCACTCCACGTCGTTTCGACGCACGACAATTTGTTCGAACTTCAAGATGGGACAAAAAAGACGCTGGCCATGGTGATGATATCCAAGCCCAACCCCCCGTCGCGTTACTTCCGCATCCACCACCTTTGTCAATAGACGAGGCAGTGGATTTTCTGAACCCCTTCTCGTGTCTCACATCCGATGAATACGACGATATCGAGTTACATGGGAATTTCAAGCACATGATGCACATGTTGATCCCGTCCAATGCCACTGCCGCTCTGCTGGAGCGTCGCGGCCAACCGATTCAAAGCATTGGCCAGCAATCCAATTGCACGCTCTTCATACGGGACCGCGACTCATCACCATTTAAAGAGGACCGTCTGCTCTGCCTTCAAGGAACCGCCAAGTGTATCAGCTTGGCCCAGCGTCTTGTGATTGCGTACATTCGTGCATTTCGAGCAAAGAAGGGCGATCCCAACTACATGGAGCTATTGACTGGGGATTCCAATGTACCACTTGTAGCAGTGACGTCGATTTCAAAAGCCATGGACGTTGCAATGGCTAGTAAAAAGAAAAATGAAGTGACCATTACCAACCCGTTTGTCTGGATGGTTCAACGCGAAGACGTTGGCAAGATGATGGGGAGGCAAGGAAGTGTGCTACAATCGATCCGTCGGGACACCGGAGCTTCTATCCGTATTGAAGACGAGGTCGCTCCTGGCACGACTGAGAGACGAGTGGTGCTGAGTGGAGCGGTGAAATCCATTGCGGCAGCAGTGGAAAAGATCCGAAAGAGAGCGGGTGGGCGCTCGGAAGTGACTGCAAGTGCGACAAACGGTCGACTTGGACGGTACTTTGCTATTCCGTGTCATTCTGCCGGTTACCTCATTGGTCCGCAAGGCTCTACGATCAAAACCATTACGGAGCGCACGGGTGCACGCCTGCAAGCTCCTTCGACAGAGGATCTGCCTCTGGGTAGTATCAACCGGATACTTCATATCCAAGGCACTCCGAAACAGACCGAGCATGCGCGACGAGTTGTTAGTGCCAAGTTACGTGATTATTTGGCCACTTCCACGAGCCCACAAACTTTGAGTACGGTCTCGACCGGCGCGAAGGGTGACAGGGTCACAATCAAGGTTCTCCTACCGTCCAGAATCTGCGGGTTTATGCTAGCTGGCCGAGGCAAGCTTATCCGCGAGATTTCCGAAAAGTCAGGGGCTCATACGCACTTCTTAGCCGCCCGTGATGGAGACGGTAACCGGGTTTGCGTTTTTGCTGGCGATATGAGCTGCGTACTTCGTGCGCAACGTCTAGTGTTGCAGTTCATTGCCGGAGATGTCATTTCGTCGAAACAGGTCGGTTCACGCCGGAAGCGAAAGCGTCTTCAAGAAGGTGAAGAAAAGGACAGCAATCATGACGAAGTGAAGGAAGAGTACGTGGGCAAAGGGGAGTTATGTCACAATGGTGAAGTGTACAGAGAAAGCTGCTTTGATGACGCGTTACGTCTAGCTCAGTTGCATCCTGTGCGACAACAGCATGCGCGACGACAGCAAATTCGCCATACTCGACGTGATTGTGTAAAAGGCGAAGAAGAGCGGTACGTATACGATGATGGTATGGTATGCGTGGAGCATCATCTACGGCAGCCGATACACCAACGACCGGTTGTCATTTGTCCCTGTGAAACCTCTGAGGATGACTACGCTGTCGGTGAGTATAATCACAACGAGTGCGGTCGTGATGACCGTGTGTTGTACGTTGTGCCTCGGCCGCAGGGTTCAACGAGGCTGGCAATTGTCCGTCGACAGCCTGCTGATAGGCATGGACACGAGCATGATGACAGTTGCGAAGAAGATGCCGATGAACACAGTTCATCCGATGACGATGAAGACGTGCTTGAAGCAGTTATCGTCGGAAAGCAGGAGCGAAAGCGGCGGCCAAGTAGTAGCCCATCTAAGAAACCGCGTCCGTCCATGGCATGCCCTGGTCGCAAAGTGCAGGTGATCGTTACAGCTCCACGTTCCCGACAGGAACGACCAAGGAAGAGCTCGACAAGTTCAGGATACACGACTGGTGCTGGTGTCGTTTGTCTCCGTGACAGTCGCAGAAGAGCACGTCCGAGTAGTGTGTCTCGGAGCGGAAAAGGATGTGCTCGTCCTGGTACGAAGCAAGGCGGCCGTACGAATGACAGCAAACGCCGTTGTTAGTACCGAAGTGGCATCGGCTGGATGGGATCAAAGCCATTTGACGAGGGTAAACGGGTGGCTATCTCATTGTGTTTTGTGGCTTACCGATGGACGAGGAGACTCGCGGCAGTGGCTGCGGTAGCACATGCGATGAACGATAGACTGAAGTACAGCGGGGAACTGGGCGGCAACTCAATAATCGCCCGACTCAACTCTTTGACTGACGGTCTACGGTTCCGCACAGATGCGTTGTCGCTGTCTGTTACCAGGCGGCCAGCTTCCTCGGGGTCCCTCGCGTGCGCATTGAAGCTGCTGCAGTTGTTATTGGTATCGCTTGGACTCGAGGGCTCGGAAGATCTGCTCACTAGCGACGGCGCCCTAGTTGGATACCCCGAGTCTCCATTCGATCCGATGCCGAGCTGTTTCTCGTGAGTCATTACAACGCGATGCTCATCCTCTGACTCGGCAGCATGTGATATCGGGCGGTTGTCAAGGGCTAACACATTGGCAGCAGTCAATGTGAAGCTGTCCAGATCGTCCATACTCAACGTTTTGTGTCTTCCGACTCGCGCTCGACTCTCGGTGGGACTACCTCCAGACGAATGCTGGTGACGGAGGACCCGATTCTTCAGACGCAAGGCTGCAACCTCCCGTGTGGCATCCTGCAGTAGCTGCTCCATGATTTCACTCTCACAGAGCTCTCCCACGTCAACACGATTGCCAACGCCACCGGAGCTACTTTCCCGTTCGCGCTGTTGCTCGAGTGCCTGCATGAGCTGCCTCTGGAACTGCTCAAATGTCTTGGTGACACGCTCTGTCTCGGCTTGCGCGCTCGCTGTGCGGTTCTCCGCTACCTGCAGCTGAGTCGTTGCGCGAGCTTTGCACAGATCCAGCTTCTGAATGCAGTCGTCTCGAGCCGACATGTTCGCTTGCAGCTCGACGTTTTCGGCTTCCAACCGCCGCAGGGTGCGGCGCAGTGTATGTCGTCCAGCTTGTATTCCTTCGAGCTCTTTTGATTGCTGTTCTAACTGCGCTGTCAAGAACTCACGCTCTGTCTGTGCACGTAGGAGCTCGAGACTCTGTTGACTGTTTTGCTGTTGCAGTTGTGTGACCTCTTCTTCGAGCTGTCGCCGACGAAGCTGCTCCCGTTCGCAAGCAAGTTCCGACTGCAAGCACCGTCGATTGACTTCGTCAACGCGCTGTTCAAGTTGCAGCATACTAGCTCTTCGAGTCGCGCATTGTTCACATGAGACCGCTGTGGCACCACTTCTACATGAGGTGAGTGAAGGCGGTTGCTGCTGCATCTGTTGCTCAGGGTTTCGTACGTTCTGTGCTCCTGTCAGGTTCCAAGACTCACATGGTACATTGTAGCGCTGCAACGCCGTCTCCAGAGCGACATTTCGATCGTATACTCGCTGTGTCTCTCGCACCACCTCGTCCCGCTCCAGCTGCACAGCTTCCAGGATATCCTGCACACTGTCAAGCTCCTTCCGTGCAGCAGCAAGTTCTTCCAGCAAGGCGTTGCCCGCATTAGCAGCCAAGCAGACGTTGTGTTGCTCGCTCGCCAGGTCTGCCAGGACTCGCGCCAGTTTGTCCTCCACCAGCTGTTCTCTTGCAGTCGCGCCCCCGTCACTTTCAGCTACAAGATCGATGTGTTGGTGATGGAAGTTGTCATCGACCGTCGACCGAGCTCCAACTGCAGCATTTTTGCAGAGATTGGAACTCGCAATGCAACGACAGTCGTCGTTCGCAGCCACGTCGGTAGTCAATTGACTTTCCCGGTCAAGTTCCAAGTCGAGTCCCGTCGCAATCGTTTTAAATGCGCCCCATGGGTCCGTGCTCGAGGAATGTCGATGGCTTTGAGAACTGCTACTGGTTGTGGTTGGCGATGTAGAGATATCCCTCTGATCTGGACTCGTGCAGGCCATTGTTACAATCGACGATAGCAGAGACTTTGTCAAGTTTCTATTCGAACGGATCACAAGGGTGGGGAAAACGCTGCAGTGTCGGACTCTGGTCGATTGACGAGGAGAAGCGTCTGATGGTCTTTGGGTGTGGGTTTGTTTCGACTTTCGTAGCTCTTCGTGGGTGATGCACCAACCGTTGGGACTTGTCGCCCATTGCGTTTGTAACGCCTTTGTTTTGTGGAGCTCCTCGTAATCATGCGACATGTGCAGCACGGATTGAAGTGACGCTTCATGCTACTTTGTGATTACGGCGTGGAAACTGCCTTTATTCTATCGCTGACTGGATTCGTCCCTTCGTAACAACACGAGAAGTGCTGGTTTTCAGGACGCATGGGGCTTTTCGATCATTTGAGTCCAACTTCCGTCCGGACGTAAATCTCAACTCGGGTCTCGCGTGACAGTCGCAATGAAGTTTGTTGACAGTCGACACTTTCAAGTTCATGTTCCACCTGAACGTTGAAGATCGTGGACGACTGGGCACGACAGCTACAATCTTTTTGGAATCGATGGTCTCGGCTGACTTGAATGTGGGGTCAATGCCCTCAGGTGGAGAAGACGAGGAAAGTTGGTGACGACAGGATGACGAGGCGATGCCATCGAGAGCGACCAAATCAAGAACCGGCTATCCGCCCAGTGTGCATGATCCTGGTACTTCATCAGCCATTCACGTCGCAGCTTCACCACTTCCTCATGGTGTTTACTTCTGCTTGATGATGAAGAAGACTCATGCTCATCATGCGCTTTTTGCAGCAGAACACGCACAACCAATGTACCCACGAAGAAATTGCAGGTCTCACGTTGCAGTCAGTCTACTGCAGCTGAGTCAAGCCGCATTCAGAAAGCACCGACAGCTAAAGTCGGCATCTCATTGATGCCGCCATGACCTGCTGGCTGGTCGCTCTGCTTTCTGTACTACAGCCTAATCCTCCTGACAATTCACAGCCGATCTGTACCTGACCGTGGAGTTCCCTTGACAAGTTGATTCCAGTCACGTTGCAGCCAACATCTCATAGACAATTGTCGGAGCCCTTGTAACTTTACCGCTGCATAAGACTAGACAGCAACTGACTCAAAAGGCAGCAACAAGTGCTTTGACGTCTCTACGTCGACACAAACATCCTCTCTGACAGCAATCTTTCTATCTACAAACACACATGAGCCGCTATCGCTGATGCTAACTTGGTCCTGACTTTCCAGACAACACCTGCACTGCAACGTTAACTACTGCACCACCACCCAAGCAACCCTCAGCAAAAAATAGCTTGCAACTCACCGTCGCTTGTATAATCACATCATGCATCCCACGACCAAAAACCAACGAGGGTAGCAGCACCGGAGGTCGCAACATAAATTACAATGGCAGCGTCGTCTTAACACTTTCTCAACAGCGTCCAGAGCAAGCAGGTTGTCACGCTCACGCACGCCTCTCCACTCGACTGGGTCACACACTGTCCATCTATCCATGAACATAGTTACGAAATCCCCGATGAACGCATCAGTCCACCGCCTCGCTCGGCTAGAAACGTCCCACTCGGCACGACAAAGTCCGTGTAGCGTCCAGCTCCTGCTGCTTGCACTGCGAGCGCCACATGGAGACACCGCAGCCACTCTTTCATGTCACTTTCCGTGTACGCACTGAGCAGCACACGACGGGTCTTGCCACGAATCGCGAATCGCCACATCGAAGCTTGCGAGCCGTCAAACACCGAGTCCCGCGGCATGATCTCAATGCTTTTCCCATTGCACTTGGCCAAGTCAATCTCTCCCCGTTTCCGGCCCTGTTCTTCTCGGAAAAACGTCATCTTCGTGCTTGTCAACACCACGTAGCGCACCTTCCAGCCACCGTAGCGCAACCCAAAGCCTTGTTTGAACAGCAGCCCCGACTTGATCACGCCTCCCCGTGGCAAATTAGCCGCTCGCACCATCACGCTCTCCCTCGACATCGTGAAGCCATTTTCATCCACCACCAGAGTCCGCGGCAGTCTCGACGGGTCGCAAATGATCGTGTCAATGTCGTTATCGTCGTCGTCACTAGCCGATCGCTCCAATAACGGAATGGGCCCTGAGACGGGCATGGCCATCACTGCTAAGACCGACTCGGCTCGATCATGTCGCAGATGTTCAAAAGCCAAAGATGTCGTCGCACGGTCCGCCTCGTCTGCTGTACCGTAATCGTCAGTCGGGTTCGAGCGGTTTACCGGTTTCTGGAACGTCACGCGGGACAAGCGATGGCTACATTTCACAAACGAGTCCCCAGTATCGGAGCTGCTCGTTTCGCTGCTGCTGCTGCTGTCGTCGGCGTCGTCCTTCCATTCGCCAATATTCACCACATCGGCGCTTTTTCGACCAGTCATACGCAGGAGATGGTGTTTGTACACCCCAAGTGGACGCTGTTGCGCGTACTGGGCCGCCTGCAGCTGTTGCTGCGACATGCGCACCATTCGCGACGAGCGAAACGCCAAGAGACTTGACCGCGCGAGGCAGTCGCCGGGGTCGCTCACGTGGGGCTCCATAATCGCTGGCACTTCGGCGTCGTACGTGTTGCTGTAGCTGCAGCGACTCGGCCGCCAGCTCGAGTCCAGTACCGCGCGCGAGGCAGCGGTGGCCGCCTTTTGTCGAGGCGCCATTTGTTTCACAAGTGACGATGGCACTTCGATGGGCAGCAGCGGCTAGTGAGACGGAAGCGACGACGGACTCAGTGGATGCAATAGAGACAGAGAGACAAACAGAGAGACAGGAGGGGGGGGGTCGGGGTCGACCTGCACACGGGCGCTACCACACAAGTCAGGGAAGGGTGGATTTTCTGCGCGTGAGTAATGTGCTGAACGTTTCGGGGCATAGAAGAGGACGCGCATAGTCAAGTCGAGTCGAGTCTGCTCGCTAGCTCTCTATATCGATATATCGGTATTTATCTCTTCTCTCTTCTCTCTCTCCTCTTAGTGTGTGTTTGGTCGTGTCGCGCGAATGTACAAAGACGTGGGAATCAGATGGACTTGTTTCTGTGCACCTGCGACAGATAAGACCCAAAGGGACTCGATATGAGAGGTCACGAGATGGAACATCGGGTGAGAATCTTCGGACAGCAGCGAGCGACCTGTGAAACTCGATATCTTGTCAACACGTTGCGGGATCAGTCGAGAGTGGGACCGCTTTCCGTGATGCTCTCCAGTCGCGTAGATCAACAGGGTCGTACTGGCGAGATTTGGCAATCGACGAAGGTCAGAGCATCAAGAACTTGCTGTCGTTTGCGTCCGACGTGGCGTCGATGCTGATTGAGCTTTTACCTTGACTTGTGGAGGAGTGAGTTGGTGGGATTCGTTCGGGCAAAATGCTCTCTCTTTACTCTTTTCACTCTCTCCCTCTCGTGCATCGCACAAGAGACCGAGAGTGGCCGGTTTATGAGCCTTTTCTCTGTCTCATGCACGGGTGGAAACGTGAATGCGGTCCACGGCTTTTCATTTCTGCGGCTCTCGTGGCTTGAAGCGACGATGCGAGAGGTTAGGAGAGGAGACGCGCCCTCGAGTTTGTTGCAGGTAGGTAGGTATACGGTCATCTGGTGACAACGCCGGACCTGCTGCTGTAGGTGAACCACAAAGGAGTTGCAAACGTGTTTCCTTCGACGCACATGTACTCGTCTGTCTATCCATCCATCGTGTAGTTGCAACCCTTGAGTGAATGGAACGAGAGCCGCCTGATTGTCGTCTCGCGATAAACACGTCTCGCTCATTATCACCATTACCACCACCAATACCAACGTAAAGCTACTGCGTACATTATTTAGTTACAGCGTTCTTTCTATACATACATGCACATCTATGTGGCTGCCTATACATTTACATCTACCTATCTCCTTATCCTAACCGATTCACCTATCGATCTACCTATCCTCGACTACATCATGTCGGACATAGCAGCTATGTGAGCCTCGCTCCATCCTTTTCTCTTACTTCAGCTGACCAACTCGTTTCGATTTTTATCCAATCGAATGCTCTCGTTTTAAAATCTACCCACGTGACGGATGGACGTAGGCTTCAAGCAGAAGAAGAAGGAGAAGAAGAAGAAGGAGAACAAGCGAAGGCGGAGGCAACCAGACAGGTCATTAGACGATGCAGAAGACAAAGGGGTTAGTAGGGACAACGAGGACGAAGGCAGCGAAGCGCTGGACGTGGAGAAGCGCATCGAGGAGCTCCGCGAGGACCAACGACTGCGCCAGCAGGTGTTCAAAGAAGGATTGGCCAATCACCGGCCTCGAAAGCCGTTATCGAAGCGAAAAGTCGAGGCGTTAAGTAACACGAGTCAATATGGACTTCATGACCCGAAGAAAGACGGGTCGACGAATCAGAAGCTCTTGACGCTGCTGGATGGACAGTTTACGGGGCAGAGCGCGACGACGGACAAGGAGCAGCACGAAGAGCTCATGAACAAGTTTATTGACGAGAAACTATCGCAGATGAAGACGAGAAAAAAACAGAAGGAGAGTGGGACGCAGCAGACGGAGCACTGCCAGCAGCTGGACGAGGCCAGTGCAGCTCTGCAGCGAGCCGAAGACCAGCTGTTTGAGCTGCCGGAACATTTGATCCCGGATGTCTCGAGTCGCGTTGAAGGCGACAATGACGGGACAGACGGGGGGATGCTGCTGGGCAGTGCGGGCATTGCTGAGGTGGAACTGCCGTCAATGTACTCGGAAAAGACAGTGGCCGCAACGAGAAAAGCACTCGAGAAGAGCCGAAGAGGCGGTCCGAAGCTGGATGCGATCGGAGGGATGGTGAATACGGCGCTGCCAGCCAATTTTAGTGTCGACTTTAATCGACACCGGACCGATTACGTTGCAGAGATGAAGAGTATGAATAAAGGTACGTAGAGGCGGTGTCGGTGACGTGAGTGAGTGGGAGATGGGCTTTGCTGATACAGATAATGTTGCTTCTTGCTTGCAGATGAACAGCGGGGGCGAGGGTTTCACCAAGGTTTGCTGTTTGGGATATCTTGAGGCGAGGTATACTTGCCGGTGCTGACCGCTTGTGTATCCTTTGTGCAGGGAGGAAAAACCAAGCAAGTGATGATCGTGCTGTATCGCGGTTCCGGAAGTTTGAGAGTCGCAAGCTGCGACGATAGATTTGGCACAATGGTGACGATGTGGCAAACCTTGCGCGTGCATTTGCTTTGGTACTACAGCGTTGAGTTTTGGTCATTGCACCACATTCTCGATGGAATCCGACATTGTTCGCGAGGTAGTAAGTAGTGACAGAGCGCTTGAACGATAGTGAGACAATTCGGGGTCTTACGTCTAAACTGGTGTACGACCCTTTAGATATGCTGCCCTCAAATGCTGGTAACTAGAACGAATACTAACACGCTACTACCTGCCACATTCAGCTCGCACTATTGCATAAAATGACTTGCAAATTTAGCTTACAATTGACTCGTCTTTGGACTTGCGTGGCGCTCTATCATGGAACACCTCCACTGTCAGCTTGACGATAGATACGACCTGTGATCTATACAAACTGGATGCGTCTCGCCCTGTTGGCGTTCCCACGGTCAAGCTGACCGATCAGGTCTTCAGCGGTACTACGTCTTGCAGCGCTAAGGGGGGACCGAGAAAAAAACGACGAAGGTCTCAATATCTTAGATGATAAAATGGTCAACGTTAAGACACTGCGCCATCCCCGCTATGGTGGTTCACATGCTATCGTTCCAAGGATAGACAGTAGTAGAAATGCCGAATTTCTGGTGAGTACTGGAGTACTCGGTGTCTCGCTTTCGTTTATTTGCTCGATGTCGATACTTACAGGAACCGAAGCTGTCAATATAACAACTTGCATGACATTTTACGCCTGAAGGTGAGTGTTTTACATAGCGTGTCGGTAAGATTTGCTGCATGCCTTTCACTGTGTTGTTTGTCGAGACTAAATCGCGTCAATGTGCAGGCGACGATGGTATCCGAGATGTTCGATTATTCATGTACACTTTAGCAACTCATTTATCGCCATAAAGAGAGGGACGGGTGCCGTAGACATTTTTTGGTTCTAAATATAGACAACGAGATCAAGACACAAGACGACAAAACAACGACATCCATTCCAAACTCATCGAATCACTCGGCGCAAGAAAGCAGTCCCTGCGAAAACGCATCGGCTACTTCACACTGCAAAATGACATTTCCGCCCGCTCGGAAAAAAGTGTTTTACACCCATCATGTGCTGTCCTCTTTTTTCTCACCGAAATGTGTGGTACACATCCCAACCCTCGCGCGAGTGACCTCCTCGACATTCGCCCCGTCATGAGCTGGCTGTGGGGCAACGAGACCACGGAGCAGGCGCAGTTCGTCGTGAGCGCCCTCCAAGGCGAACTGGACGAGCGGGAGAGCAAGATCAAGGCGCTGGAGGCGGCACTAAAGCGGGAGCAGCAGGACTTGACGGCGGTCTTGGAGGATGAAGTGAAGGAGCTCGAGATGCGGCGTCAAGTCCTTCAGAAGGAGCTGGACGACGTAAATGCACTGATTGTCGATAAAAAAGAGCTTCTTTTACAAAGCAAAACCGATGGAAACAAGCAGAAAAAAAACAAAGAAAAAGAAGAAAAGTGGTACGGCAAAAATGGAACGAGGGGCTTGTAATGAGGCTGAAAAAGAGACTGGGCAGCTCATTGCGACCCAAAAAGAGGAGGAAAAGCCACCTGCTGCAGTCATAAGGTGGGCATACTGTGTACAGTTATAGAGCACAGAAAGTGGGCGTGAAGTTGTATTGGAACTGACCGATGAATTACTTGTGAACTTTTTTTTGCAGGTTGACTTCTGCCGATGTAACAGACTCCAGGAAAAAAGTGCTGCCAATGGATCAACATTTGAAGCAAGTGGCAGAAGATGAGCCCAATGTGGCATTTATCATCCAACGGAGCAATGTGAGTCGAGTCGTTGGATACTCTTGAGTGTGTTTGTGTTTTTAGTTGCAGTTATTCCGCTGGTGATGAACTTGTGGTGTTCTTTTAATGCAAATTCACGGGCTATTTTTGGCACTTCCTATTGCAGAACTCCAATACGGTCGTCTATGCTGGCTGCAAGTCCGCGGATGGGGATGTTCTGGATCGGTCGAACCCGATTAAGGTGTATTGGATCATGTTTGAGAAGGAGGGCAAGCCGCGGGAAGAGTTGAACATGATTGAGCGGACGACAGCGTACGGCGTGACGTCCAAGCCCAGTGATGTACCGGGCGAGTTTATGGTCGCAATCGCTTCGTTGCGTGATCGCGACTGTACCTTGCGTTTGGACGAGCACGGCAATGTGATGGCTCTGACTACAATTGATGGCAAGAAGGGTATGTTACTGCGACGTGTGTTTGTGCAGGCGACGACGAGTTGGGGCATTCCGACAGTGGATTACGTCGATATCTTTGGCGTACATCCAATAACGTTTGAACCTGTCTACGAGAGGAAGAAGAACAAGTAGATGAAGGCGAGCGAGAGCGAAACGAGACCAAGGCGTCCGTGTTCGAGTGGAGCTGCCGTGCTTCTCATTTTTATTAGCTTTCGATCAAGTGAGACCACTATCGTGTCTTCAGGACCACGTCTAAATGGCACGACGCATCATGACGAAGGCGGCGGCACCAAGTGTAGTGCCTAGTACACCACGTAGAACGTCCTCGGGTACATCGAGGGTAACGTACTTGGAAGTACAATAAACAGCAACAGCCAGCGAGCCACCGATGCGAGCGGCGGTTGGCAAGTGAACGGACTTTGCTCGTAGATTGAATATCGTCGATGACGCCGCCGTCGGGACCACCGACAGCAGCGATGTGCCAATGATTGTGGCTTGTGGCATGTCACTTGCAGCTGTTAGGTAGGATGTAATGAGGAGACCTCCGCCAAGGCCACAGAGTCCCGAGATGAAGCCTGAGACTGCACCGGCGAACACGTACTTGACGTTCACTGCAGCAAAGCCTTTCCAGTTGGCCTGTACCCGTTCCACGTACTGGTCCGACACCGTCGTGGATGTTGCTGGACCTGACGGGTCCACTGCACCTTTCTCCGACATGGTACGTGCCTTTTCAAGGTCCTTCTGCTGGGGCACAACAAACTGGAGATCCAACGGGTCCTGCCCGTCGCTCCACTTGGGCATGAGCGAGCTGTTCTTGAGGAAAATGAGTGGAGAGCATGCGAGCATGGCTGAACCCACGAGCAGTGACAGCTTTTTGCTGGAGAGTTGGTGAGCCGTTCGGACGCCGTATTTTGTGGCAATTATAGCTGGAATTGTCGTGGCCAAAGCCAGCGGGACGTTGCAAGCTCCGGACTGGATGTAGTTGGATGCTCCGACTGATGCAGCAATTGCAACTGCGCCAATTGAGGTGCCATTGATCACTTGCTGAGATAGGGACGTGAACTTGGCCAATGCCTATGGGTACAACAAATGGGTACATGTGAGCATAAACGAATGATAAAAATAAGTAAATAAACATATGGGACAGTAGATACAAAGAGACTGAAGAGCGATCAGATCAGACCGGAATCAGAATGATGCCTCCGCCAACGCCAGTCAATCCTGAGACGATACCCGCTAGACTGCCTAGTTTATGTAAAAAGAGTACAATAATAGGTGTGGGAGACAGTTAGAGAGCATGTCTTTTTGAGGACGCAACTTAAACGGGTAGACCGAATAGATAGGAGGTCCACAGTGGTAAGTAAAATAAACGGAATCAAGTGACGGGAAAATATGTTTCGTACCCGCAGCAATACCGACTTTTAGTGGGATAGCAGTGCTCACGATTGGCTTCTTGTGTACAGAACACAGTACGCGGTGGTGAGCGATACGATGGAGCGACGCGTGATGCTGCTGAGACGAGCGGCAGAGTGTACGCGCGAGCATCTTTTTGTTCGATGACGACGAAAAGCCGCTGCAATTGTACGACTAATTAGGGTTAAAGATACTGCAAGTAGATTTTTATTTGACAAGCAAATACGACAAAGAGGTGATTTCTGATTGGCTGTTGGAAATCGCTTAATTGCAATGTAAAGTTTCTGCTTGCTCGAACGTACCATGACATTTGGATTTATCACAATCGGTGCAAAAGGTGCTCATCAAGTTTGAGAGGTTTAAAAGGACGTGGTAAGGGCAGTTTAAACGTTCGATAGAAGCAAGCTTCATGGCGTAAAACTTGCCTACGTTCTAAAGCTGAGCCTTTGCGATACAGCAATCATGTAGCGCGAAAATACTCGCACTGTGTTATCTATCACTCAGAGTGCAATTTGTTCTGATCGCTTTTCTACATCTAACGTGTCATCTCGGCCTCAACACGGAATCATACTCTAGTTCGTGAAACACATGTCGTTATTACGCGTGCAACTCAAAAGACTCATGCACTTTGCCTATGTTAAATGCTGAGCTATTTCAAGCGAGCTGCATCATCAAAAACACTTTGCATTGTAGTTACGTCTTGTTAAGCCAAAAAACTACCACTCGCGTCGGCGCTTGATACGTTAATTAACCTACTCTCACGCACTTTTCTGTCTGCGTGACTGCAGTTGGCAAATTTGTGCCCTACAATCATTTGACGAAAAGCTTCTTGAGGGGGCGTTGATTGTAGATATCCATTTTCAAGATAACAAAGTTGCGTTACACCAATAGGGGGTGGATAACGCAGCGAGAGTTCTGGTGCGATTGATTCTACGTGGATATTTAGTCAGCGAGAGCGTAGCCACGTATTCCAACTTTGGCTCGCAGAGAATCCGGAAGTGATTGGCGTGAAGAATCCCAATCTCGATCCATGCGCCGTTTTTCCACCAAAGTTGCTAAGCCGCTCCATCAGCACTCGAAGAAGGTCGAGAACAAGACGAACCAAGAAGCCTCGCTTCAGCGAAAATCCACTGCAGAAGTAGCAGTCAACACGGAGAGCAACTTCTTGAGCCATTTTGCGGCATTCGATAGCTTGGAACACTACGTGGACGTCACGATGGTCGAGTATACCAAAAAGGACGACAGCGACAAGCCATAGCAACGTCTTCCCCGGATCTAGGACGATGCTGAATGCAGACAACACAGAACACGAGATAGTGTGAAGGCCTTTGTTCGAGAACCAAACCAAATTTGAAACCCTTGTTCCTTACCTGAACGAAGAATGGCATCACTGGAATCCTTTTGCCTAAATGAGCATAACCATCGGGTCATCACCATCCTGAATGTACATGACCTTATTCTGCTCCTCCAGATCCACCAGCACTTTTTCAACGTCAGCACGGGCAATCGCGTCGTTCTTGGAGCGACCATGGTTCAGTCGCGACAAAATGCTCATCAGTGAGATGTTGTCGTTCGCATCGTCGATAGTGGTATCGCTGCCCATCTCTGACAACAGGCTTAGAATGTCATCAGCGAGCGTACCAGAGCTGTTTGCAATAGTATAGGAATCGACAAGTAAGCAAATGTCCATACGCACAACAGATTAGAACAGAGTGACGTACCTCCATGATGCTCGATCACGTTTTCTGGATTTCTCGATCGAAATGGGCTTCTCCGGTGTCAAAGGACTTTCAATCTCCAACTCTGCCATAGCCTTCTCGCTGCCAGTTTCCGGTTCTTGGGTCACCTCTGGTCGCGTGTTATCCGTGTGGGGCTCTGACGCATCGTGGTACAGAGCAAAACTAATGAGAGAGATAGCCTTCTCAGCATCCACAGCATCAATCGTCTTGCTCAGGCGCGCTTTTGCATGTGCCGACGCAAGACGAATCAGCGTTTCCAAACTACGCGCAGTCACTGGCAGTGTCCGCGCGTTCTGCTGAGAACGAAGCTCTGCATATCCCTCCGAGATTAGCTCGATCGCACTGTCTGTTAGCACGGGTTGGTAACGCATCTTCGCGTAATAAATGTACTTTTTGAGGAAGTCTAGCTTGAGGATACCGTTGCCACTACCAGCATACGATGACGACTGGTATTCACCGTGAAGCAGCGGGTCGAACTTTTGAAAAATGCTGCTTTTAGACTGGTCGGATTGATCATCAGTCGATTCGCTGAACAAAGCCATGTGATCCGTAGAGCTCACTTCAAACGAGAGAGGAACGCCTTCCTGGCCCGGGCGAGTATACCGATGCATGCGCAGGACATGGTCTGAAATGTTGCGGTCCGCACCACGGTCCAGACGATCAAGCACCACGAAAAGCAAGTCAAAACGGGACAACAGCGAATCCGGTAGACCAATGTTCTCCTGTGGCTTTTTGTTCTTGTTGTATTGACCATACACGGGGTTGGCCGCAGCGAGAACGCTACATCGAGCATTCAAAGTGGCATGAATGCCAGCCTTTGCAATTGTCACTGTCTGCTGCTCCATGACTTCATGAATAGCCACACGATCTGCTTCGCTATAGTGAGATGCGTAGTCAGCCCCGTTCGATGTATAAAGCTAACGGAACAAACTTTTCTTACCTCATCTTGTCGAACTCGTCAATGCATACGATACCGCGGTCAGCGAGCACCATAGCGCCGGCTTCCAGTCGGCGCTCTTTGGTGTCAGGGTCAATCGTCACAGCAGCGGTCAAACCAACACCAGACGAACCACGACCTGTGGTATTGACGGCAAGAGGCGCGATCGTTCGGACGAAACGTAGGAGCTGAGACTTGGCTGTCGATGGATCACCCACCATCAAAATCTGCAAAATCAAAAACAGCGGATGTCAACAACACCGCGCACGACATCAATGCGAGATCGAGGCAAGCACACACTCACATTAACGTCACCACGAAGATGCGTCCCGTTCTCCAGGTTTTTCTCAACACCACCTAGTAGCTGAAGCAGCAGCGTCTGCTTGATCTCGCCATGACCATAGATAGACGGCGCTATCGATCGTGAGAGCATTTCAAACGCGTTGAGGCGTATGTTTTGCGAACTCACGGACATTCACCAGGTCGTCACGCGACATAACAATGCCATTCACTTCCTTACCCATGAGCTGAACGTTGTTAGCAATAAGTACCGTCCTAAAAACTGCTGTCGATGCAGCTGTGCTATTTCCACCGAGTGGGCGGTAAATACCGACCACACGAACACGGTCCCCCGGTTTACACTTGTCCACAATGTCGTTTTCAACAATGATCTCGCACGACCTTGGGAGTTGTCCAAGTGGTGCCGTCTCGGGTGTTTCCTGCATACTAACCACCTGGTAATCCTTATATCGCGATAGTCCAAATTCCGTCTCCAACAAATTGCCATGCTCATCTTTTGTCGGATAGACACTAGATGTCGGAGCACCTGTAATCGACGTGTTGTCTCTATACTCCCTGGATAAAATCGCATTTGTTTCCTTGCAATAATGTACACTACGTACAACCTTTGGTCGCACTGCCGAGCATTTTGTAATGATACCATGGACACATACCATCTGGGTAAGGTACGAAGCCAAGAGACCTCTTGGGTTTACATTATGATGGCCAAAATCTCCTTCAAATCCCACATAAAACTGCATCTCCTTAGTAGCTTCAGCTTCTTTGCCGCCGTAGAGACTGTCCATATTAAACACCGTCTCCTTCACTGCCTCTTCAAATGGAGGGACAAACTCGGCCGGAGCACGCAGCAACCGGTTCACAATGTTCTCCTGCGTACCCACTGCAGGGTCCGTGAACGAACTGTCGTACTCGCGCAAATCATTGAGGTCAATGACCAGTCGCGTGTGTTTGTGGTGCATCATACTGCGAAGTTTGTCCGTGTATTTACCGTAATTCGCCTAAATTTAGCACGAAAAGCACAGTCACTAATGTGAGGGTTTTGACAAATCACCACATAAAATCAAGGTGGTTTTGTTATAACAGACACCTCATTGACACGGCCACGATCACCCGATAGCCACACGCACCTCCTCGTTGCTCAGGAACTCGTGGAAGTACTGCTTATGACGACGGAAAACCTCGTCCAGTGCGTCTTGTTGCAATTCCATGGCGTCCGCTCGTGCCGCAAGCGCGCGAAAAGTCAAGTGTCGCCTCTCGGTGGTTTAAAAACTGGCTGGGGATGAGGAGATTTCGAAAGAGTGACGGGGCCGACACGATCGTGGCGACTGTGGAATTTTTGGATCGACGAAAAGTGGCCAGATCTGAGTGACAGGACAAGTTTGGGAAAGACCAAGGAATTGCGCTGATTTAACGAGTGGTTTTTGTCGATCGACGAAAAGATCCGTCGAAAAACTCGGATATTGCATCGTCGTTGATGTTGGATCTCTTTTCCGGTTTGGATGACATCGATGGGTACGCCCCGCTTGGATTTTATAAAAAGGTACGCTGCATGGATGATTTTCTACGGCTTGGATATTATCGGTACGCAGCAATTGCTGCAGGAAAGCCTTGAGTTGCGGATGCATTGCAGCTTTAAGATTAGGGACCAAGCTCTGGAGCTCGCCCCTTGATATTAGTAATTCAGTTCATAGAACCGAATCAGGTTGAAAAAGACTATACAATAGTAGTCACTGAAGAATGAGTGGGATGCTATCAGTGCCGGTACTAACCCAGTGTAGTTGGCTAGAACAACACGATCGGCATTGGCATACGAGCGTCCAGCACTTGCTTATGTGATCATATCTACCTTTGATCGAGTCGAAGCCAATCAGGTATGTGTATCACAATATTGACCTAGCCATGAAGTGACCTGGCACCTATCATGCTAATCGACGTATGAGGAAGGAACATGCTCGGTGCACTTCGTACGTGTAACGGAGCACCCTTACTTTATGGTGCCACGAAACTCCACGTACATAGTACGTGTAGAAGAAGCTAATCTACTTAAATGCTAGTTTGAGTGAAGGGTAAAAAAGAACTGTATTTAATAAAGTTGAGCTATCGATATAACTTCAGTCTTTATCTAACTCTATTAATCGATATTGTCGCATGAAGACAACCTGCTCACCACTCATTACGCGCGTCTAGCAGCGATGGTGGTCACTTTGGTTTACATGTATTTATCAACCAATCGTTGAGCAGCGCATGAATGCTATCCTAAAAGGAGATAAATATTCCTTCAATATTATCCATCTCGGATAATATTGGCAGGGAATTATCACGCTAGCATTTCTCTATTGACACTGTTCGGTGTCAATATCGTGTAACGGACTACCCCTTACATAAACCTCATTAACCATCAATCACCCTTTGATTGAATTATAATTGATTGAGACAGGGTGACCACCGTTGGATCACTTTGGGAAAGGGAGCACTTGTTGGTCAAATTCCATTCATTTGCCAATCCAACGCATGGTTTCGATCTCATAGCGAGTTGCTGCTGCAGCAGCAAGAAAGGCGGCTGCACACATGCGTGCAGCCGGAGAGAGTACTTTTCACGCCTCAGCAGCAGGTATTTCGTCGCCAGTTGTTGTGAATCGTCCACATGGTGAGTCACCATGTGCGATACCGCGAGTCGTAAGTAAGATGAGTCTGAAATAGAGCTCATCTATTCTTGAGAGAGTACTTTTCACGCCTCAGCAGCAGGTATTTCGTCGCCTGTTGTTGGGAATCGTCCACGTGGTGAGTCCTCACGTGCGATACCACGAGTCGTAAGTAAGATGAGTCTGAAATAGAGCTCATCTATTCTTGATAGAGAACTTCTCACGCCTCAGCAGCAGGTAATTCGTTACCTGTTGTTGTGACAGTCCACGTGGTGAGACACCACGTGCGATGGGTACCGCGAATCGCAATCTAGATGAGCCGGAAATAGATATCACCTATTCTGGCGAGTCGGATGATGTATCCGACTCGAAGGCGACACCTCACGCCTCCGGATCGTCTGGGGTGAACACTGCAAGAGCCAGTTTGACTGGCTCTGGTCACCGTGGCGGTATCATGCTCGAGATCTTCGGACCAAGTAATTCTTCTGTCGAATTCTCGTCTCAAGCAAGTCCATCCTACGATAGGTCGCGTGATGATGGTGGTGATGCCCCTATGCATCACCACGAGAGAAGCAACTCGAGGGATCGAGCTGCCACTGGTGTCAGTGCTCATGATGACACCACAAAAGAGGCCAGGGACCAAAATGCCCTGCGCCACGCTCCTCAAGTGGAGTCTCCTCGGATGCCGTCATCCAAAGAGTTAGATCGAGTGGCCGGCATGACCACCCAACGGGATCGAAACCCGTTGTTTGACAGTAGGAGGATCTGTGCTCCTAATTTCAGCACGGAAACTATCCGTGCTGAGGAAGAGTTCTTCACCGATGTGTTTTTCAAACATCGGTGGTACAATGGCAACCGCGATCGAGACGGTAAGGCCTTGGTGCAAGGATGGAATGCTCTCATCCATAACATCGAGTGCATTGGCCGTGAGGCCTGGCTCGGTAATCTTGATGCACTCTCGTGGATTGATTCGTGTCCAAGCTGCCTGGACAACTCGAATCGCGCCCGTAGGGAGGCTTACCTCGATAGTGTTTCCTACTGGAGGGCTCGCATCTCTGCTGAGATGGCCAAATGTATTAACACTTTGCAATACCTGCACTTGCGTTCGGGGAGGTCATTTTACGACTGCCCTTCTTCGAACGCAGCGGGTAAGTCGCGTCATTTTGCTCGACGAGACCCAGGACATCAACAATCAGCTGGGCATCGAGGCTCCCAGCTGTCCCAGGCTGGTGGATAGCCACGCCAGCGGACGAGGTAACCCGTTCGGACACTGAATACGTCGCGGTGGTTCAAAATACGCTATACCAGGAAGCGTTAGCCATCACCTGAGTCCACCGAAAGATGTGGTGGTGGCGGGAACACCTGATCCGGCTCGAGGTTCGGATAAGATTGATGTTCAAGAGCTGAACCGTGTAACGGAACAGTTACATGACGACCTGGCTCATGAACGGACTCGGCGTTATGAACGTCATGACCTTGTAAAGTATAGCTACTATTCCATAGCGCATGATCGTTCGAGCGATCGTGCCGCGTTTGCGTTCGCGCAGCTTGAGAACGAACGTTCGGTTCGTTCTCTTCGTGACAAGCTGACTGCAGCTCGTCAGGACATCGCGCAATTGCGTGAGCAGGTCTCTTTGCTAGTCGACCAGACTGGCTCGTTGAAACGGGACCACTCGAAGGTGGTCTCGGCCCTTGACCGCGAAGGTGTTCTCCGCCCTTTGAAACGGGCTCGTACTAATAGTACGGGCGGAGACGTTCAACATTAAAGGTAGGATGCGTACGCATGCGTGGTAAAGTCGATTAAGATCGGTTTCGTAAAACCTCAAACGTATGCCTAAGTACGGAGTAGGGACCGGTGGAATGATCGTGGGACGAGGACCAATCATATGGATGGCACCGTTGGGATCATTCACGGAAATATCTCATCCAGTCAGAACGGTTCAGGACGGTTCAGAACGGCAAAAAAGACCGCGATCAAGGGACCACGGTCAGGGGGGCCGCGATTGTGGGACCGCGATCAGGGAACCGCGATCAGGGGACTGTGACCAGGGGACCTCGATCAGGGGCCGCGATCAGGGGCCGCGATCAAGGGACCGCGATCTGGCGTGGACTATGCCCTGATGCGGTCAGACGGTTGGTGTGTCAGGTCTGTGCCACATGGATACAAGGGGCGATCTGTAGAGGCGACGCGTGACATCTGATTTTCCGAGTTATAGGGGTAAGGTGTGAGGGTCTAATTGATTAACATTAAACAGAATTCAATTTGCTTTTAAACACATTCGTGTCGATCTTCTCCCGGGTTGGATATTTTGGCCTCCCGACGTCTGAGAATCTCTACATCAAGGATAGAACGATCACTCCTGGAGCTATTTGGCCAGGAGTGCTAAAACTCTAAACACACCCCTACTTCGATCGGACGCAGCCAACGGTATCGGCTGAAGTACAAGATCGCGAGACGGCTCAAGTGGCCAGAAAGGCTCGCGACTCAAGTACACATTTTGGCACAAGGTGATCAGGCCGGATCACGGCGACTCTAGGAGAGCGCCAACTTAGAATACGCGATCGGGTGAGGATTTCCACCCGATCAGCACCAATCTCTACAACGATCAAGTTTAGCATCTCGTTGAGTCCACATAGAAGAGTGCAACCCGCCCTGTCGACGGGTACACAAGGTGAGGAGGAAGCAAGTGCAAGCGGAATCGGAGTTCCTTCTCCGTTAGTCAGTCGTCTGGGCGCCAGTGGAGAGTCGGGATCGCCTCAAAAAATGAGCGAATCCCACTCCACCACACATGCAACAAGGCAGTTTAATCGTGTATGCGTTGCGCATACAGCGCAGCACGCGAAATGGACCGACATACTTGGGCAGTAATTTACTGCTGCCCATGTTTGCCACTGCGTGTTTCGGTAGGTTTACTGTAGACAGTAGAACTGTCTACGTTTCTTTTCTGTCCGTATAGTGCATCAGCAATTGAGTCTTGAACGAAGCGGACAACCGCTTCGCGAGTCAGCAGAAATTCCTCTGTTGATTCATCCTTGTCAACAGCAGTGCGCTTTGTGTACACTGCTGAAAGAACGTTGTCTCCACTAGTGAGGGCGTCATTTTTCTCACTGTGGCAGTCATTGGAGATGCTGAATATACCAGCATCGTCGTCATCATCGTCATCGGTGTCGATCGCATCGACATCGGCATCCATCACGTCGACACCGTTGTCGACGGGGGATGAGCAAGAACCAGATCGGTTTTCGTTTAAGCGAGTCCACCCCTATAAATTAGAGTCACACTCTATAAAGGCGGGTAAACTTGGGTGGCGTAGGCCATTCACGAAGAACGGTGTATGCATTGTTAAAGCGGGCAACGAGTTGTTGATGACGAATTCCGCCATAGTCAATGACTCACTCCAACTCGTAAACGGGTGAATATCCTCGAAGTATCTCTTCGAGGACTCAGTTGACGCGTTCCGTCCGACCATCTGTTTCATGATGGTCAGAAGTTGAAATCGTCAAACGTGTTCCAAGTGAACGGAACACGGATTGCCAGAAGTACGCTGTGAAGCAGGGGTCCCTATCGGACACGAGTTCACGGGGTAACCCGTGAAGTCGGAAGATCGTACCGATACAGACACGCGCACAGCCCTGGGCTGTGATTGACTCCGGTGCAGCAACAAGATGTATCATCTTGCTGAACCGATCAACAAACACAAGAATACCAGTATTCTTGTGAGCGTCTTTGGGAAATCCGAAGACGAGGTCCATTGGTACGGACTGCCAGCACTCTGCCGGAATCGGTAGAGGCTGCAAGGGTGCACGAAATAAAGGATTAGACTTCACACGTTGAGAAACTTCGCGAGCGCGAATGTATTTTGCGCACAAACTCATACTGGCGGGGCCAGTTGAAGTCACGACTTACGGTGAGGTAAGTCTTTTTTTTACTGCGATGCCCACTTGTTGGGGCATCGTGACACTCATACATGATGCGCAATCGCAAATCATTATGAGCGGGAACGACGACACGAGGCGTGTCGCCATTGACTGATGTATAGTACAGCATTCCATCACAAACCGAATACCGTTCGGTTGAAGAGCAGTATTGAGACGACAAGCTTTTCAAAGCTTGACTGCATGGATTAGACACGTATTCCGTCAATCGCAGAAGAGACTCAAATTCTGTGTATGCTTTTCGCACGTCGTCGAGCATATTCGACGACGGAACACTCACTGATAGTGTTGCACAGTGGGATCACCCCTACCGTTGGGTTGCGCAGTCGGCTCCAAGTCGGGCCGACTCGAAAGAGCATCAGCGACAACATTAAGTCGTTCTGGTTTACACTCGACGGAGAATCTGTACTTCGCGAAGAAAGACATCCACCTCGCCATTCGTTGCGAGAGGTGTGGTTTGTTTACGGTCGTGCGTAACGACGCATGGTCGGTATAAATGATGAAGGGCCTATCTCCTAAGAGATAAACCCGAAAATTAGCCAGTGCATATTTCATGGCAAGGGGTTCCTTGTCATGCACTGGGTAATTACACTCAGCTGCTTGCAGCTGACACGAAAGGCAACAGACGACGCGCTCAACGCCGTTGAAGTCGTACTGCATTAACGCGCAGCCGATTGCAAAATCGCTGGTGTCACAGACCACATGAAATGGCCTATCATGATCTGCAATCGCCAACACAGGCGATTGTATCAAGCTTTTCTTGATACCTTCAAAGGAGCGCTGACACTCAGCACTCCATGACCACCTCTCGTTTTTCTTTAACGGACGAGATAAATGTACGGTCATCTTGGCGTAGTTGCGCGAGTACTTATGCAAGTAATCCGCTAAGCCAAGGAACTTTCGAAGTCCCTTGACGTCGACTGAAACGGAACAGTCGCCAAATGGTTTAATCTTTTCCAGATCAGGGCGTACACCGTTTCTACCCACGATGCAGCCAAGAAGTGGTATTTCGTTCGCTGCGAATATACACTTTTTGAGGTTCGCGAACAACTTATGCTCTCGCATTAGTGGAAGAACCTTCCGGACGTGGATTCTATGAACCTCCACGTCCGTCTTCCCATCCATAGCCCGGCTATGGACGAAGACATCATCGAAGTAACTTGGTGCGAAGTCTCGCACCGATCGCTACAGATTCGTAACACATCTGTTGAACGTCGCGGGGGCGTTACTTAGCCCCTGTGGCATCACTAGCCACTCCCAGAGCATACCACTTTAGCTGCCCACTGCTGTTTACGGGATGTCCCGCTCACGAATGAGGATCTGATAGAATCCATCCATCATATCCATGGACGAAAAGATGGTACTTTTTGCCAGACCATCTATGATGACGTCCTTCCTCGGTATCGGCGTTTGAGCCGGTACCGTTGCAGCGTAATTTGTTGAACGCGTGCACTATGCGCCACTCTCCTGTGTTCTTTCGCACACAGAAGGTGGGAGAGCTGTGTGGGGACGTTGGATCCCTCACATGACCAACCGCTAAGCGATCGGCAAAGAATTTGTTGATCTCTGTGACCTGTTCACGAGGCAGTGGCCACTGCTTCATGACACTGTATTTCGAACCGAGTTTCAGTTCAATCTCATGCCGAGCGCCTTTGTCTTTGGACAGCTCGCATGGCACGGATTCTAGGGAAAATATCCCTGATTCGATCAAATCCTTGTACAAAGGTTTTGCATTCAAAGACTACCAAGATTGAGACGTGAATCGCTCAATCCGGGTCTTCTCATCGAGGACACTCTCGTCCATCGGTGAGCTACTGAGAACCTATTTGTTCTCAGTAAACACTTTTGCCGACCGCAATTCGGCGACGTACCCGTCCTCTGTGACGAGTACGCAGATCTGCTTGATCTTGTCACTACGCAATCTTGCAAGAATCTTTTAGATTGTACAGTTGGCAACGTGATCACCTCCGAAGATGACTTCGGATGTGTAACTAGATCAAGTGTATAAGCGCTCACACTTGATCCGTCATTCACCAAGACATTCACTGACTCGGTGATTTCCAGGTAAAACACATCCGCAGGTGGTTGGGAATTCACACCCTCAACATAACTCTTTCGGGAGTTATCAATCTCAGGAACGCTGGAACTTTCTTAAAATTCGTGTACTGACTGTGGGTGCACTACCACAGTCATGTCCTCTTCGATCGACTCTCTTTCAGTCGATCTTGCTTCAACGTGTTGTTCATCCTGAACAATACTATTTTTATCTTCTTTGATGCACCCTTCTTGGTGTCCATCCGTGTTCCAGTTCACTCGATCTCTACGAGTAATGAACCTTCAGCGCAGCCTGTGGCTCTACACAGGTGCCGAAAGCTGGTTGCACAGTGTAGTGGCCTTCTACACTGTGATCTTGTGCAGTCATACTAACGACCGTACCACAAGTGAGGCCATCGCACTCACTCGTAGTAGATCCACATGCTTGTGGACGCTCCAAGACGTTCATCAGGTGGCCATCTGATGAACAAAAGGCAGGCATCTTCACGGATCGATGCTGGCAGCTAGCTCATGGCTGGTATTTTTTGTCTCAGGCTGAAGTCTTCTGGTTTCGCATACGCTATCGCCTTTTCCAGCGTACGGAAGTCCTCTTGGAGCATGTAGGTCTTCACCGGTCCATCTACAAGGCCTTATATGAACACGTTGATCAGTGTGTGCTCATCAACAGGGTTTTCCGTGACGCTACTCGTAAGGTAGCGTAGGTGTTGCACAAAAGCATGCACATCACGCTTACCTTGCGTGAGCCTCAGGAGAGCAGAGCGTGCTCGAACTCGGCTTGTGGCGGCTAAAATGTCTCTTTGAGCCGAGACTTCAAGATCTCTAACGACTCAAGCACGTTTGTGTCGTATAGCTTGAGCTCTAAGACCCAAGTCTTTTATTGTCCTGTCAAATTTGACAGGGTGAAGGTGACTTGCATCTCGTCATCCTCGATGTGACGGGCTTTTATGGCGTCGTCTGACCCGACGAGCCATCTCAGAAGGGAATCTTGAACGGCTCCCTTGTACCTTGAGATTTCAATCTTCAAGGTTTTGGGTCGATGCATGTGCGTCGGCCCGCCCATCGACTGATGAGATCCTTGCTGCTGTAGCAAGGCTATCTGCTTTCTTTCGACGGGAAGTTTCCTTGTATGAACTTGTTGATAGCAGCATGTTGTTTGTCCTACTTAAAGAATCTAACATACCACTGATGGCGAGTTTGCCCATGAGCACACTCATGCGGCCCACAACCTCCCAGTCTGAGTCACTCAGATGAGAGTAGCCTTCACGTGTGATGTAAAGGTGTCGTCTTCCACGTCCAACATGTTCATGTTGAACAGACACTAAGTAGTTGTTGGACGTACTACGAAGTGCTACCAGGTATAACGAGGCACCCTTTCTTCGAGGTGCCACGAAACTTCACGTACACTAGTGCGTGCAGAAGAAGCTAATCTACTTAAATGCTAGTTTGAGTGAAGGGTAAAAAAGAACTGTATTTAATATAGTTGAGCTATCGATATAGCTTCAGTCTTTATCGAACTCTATTAATCGATATTGTCGCATGAAGACAACCTGCTCACCACTCATTACGCGCGTCTAGCAGCGATGGTGGTCACTTTGGTTTACATGTATTTATCAACCAATCGTTGAGCAGCGCATGAATGCTATCCTAAAAGGAGATAAATATTCCTTCAATATTGTCCATCTCGGATAATATTGGCAGGGAATTATCACGCTAGACAATTCTCTATTGACACTGTTCGGTGTCAATATCGTGTAACGGACTGCGCCGTTATAGGAAGTCCTGCAAGCTAGACGTGTTTGTTGTAGTCGGCTGGTATCGATAAAAGGGAGAAGTGGCGTAATCGTAGTGTTTATGGCGATGACATCTGCTGCAAAAGAACTCTGTACGTCAGAAAAGTCTCCAGGAAATGTTCGAATGACAATCTGAATGTGCAAATTATGCGGGAGAAATTATCTTGGAGCTATTAATTGAGCTTGACGCTGCGCGAAATCAAGCGTTTGGGAGACTTGCAGCAATAGAAAGTATCACCAGCAGATGTCGTCATATGTAACAAGGTGTACGAGTTGTATCGAGAACTGATTAAGTAATGCGAAAAGCTTGTAGGGATCCAAATTCGAAGGAGCATCGTGTACGCCCTAAAAAATGCCCTTCAAGGTAACTACTGGGTGCGGCTAGTTACAATCGCGTTCGTGTTCAGCTGGAGAGAGATACAGAGAGTATCAAAAAAAGGTTGCATTCCTGCTGCATGTAATCCTGGCAAGACTCGGGAGTCTAGACGTGCAATCATCATCATTCGGTTCGCACCGATTTTTTAGAGGGCACGACCAAGGATGTTAGGTAAAAAGTTCCTGCTCACATCCTTTTACTTTAAACCAGATTTAGACATCGTGAAAAAGGCCCCATTTATAAATAAACTTTTAACCATTATTTACTTGTTATCAGTCAAGGGTATAAATGGGATGTTGCGCTGCAACCACCCCCCACATTTCGTCGCCCACCCGTTAATTCCGAGCCTCGAAAAGAAGGAGGCTTGTCACGGGTAGAAACCATGGCCTGCCATCTAAGCTTTAGTCTTTGAGGCCCATTGTTCCCGCGATGAGCTTATACATGCTTTCTTTGCCATGCTATATATTCTAACACCTTCTTTGCGAGTTAAAGATCAATGTTGCTCCCAATAGGACGTCTTCATCTTCCGGTGTGGGCGTTCTTTGGGATGGCGAAATGGGCCAGAGGAAAATCAAGCCAAGTGCAGCTACCGTTCACTTGGTTTGCAACCTCAATTAATCTGCATGGAGGTTCAAATTCCACAGGTATTCCGCGTTGTCCTGCTAACCGTTTGCGATCTCTTTGCTAGTAAATAGCACGACAAAGTCGTGTACAGATGCTCCTATTGATGCAAAGTTTAAGGCTGAGAATCTCTTTAAAAACCTGTTGGACAAAAAAGGTTTGGTGCGTGCTTTGTGCATGCAGATCTCTATTCTTCTACATAGTGACATTCAAATTTCGTCCGGCACGATTTTATATCGCAAATTATTATGTTCACCCGACCCGACCACTCTACCATAGAGAGAAACTGCTTCGTGAAACTGTAATAATACATGTAAAACTGTTTAAAGTTGAAGGAAACTACATAAATGGTAAAGATTTAAAGCTGCTAAAAATTGGTAGTAAGTGGTAGCTAGTAGGGATAACTTTAACAAATTGGTAAAATATATCTATAAATGTTATAAGTCACGAAGATTTACCTAATAACTTTACGTACGACGTAGGCGATTGCGGAATGCAGTCGAAAAGATCGGCCTTCCATCATAGTATTTCTGTACTTTCTGCGATGATGCGAGGATATTTCAAGGCCTGACGACACGTCAATGAAAGCTACAGTAAGTGACGACGTAGGCTTCGCAACATCATCGCGCTTCAATCGATCTTTTGATACAAGTCACGCGTGCTTCTAAATCCAAAACCATCTTGTTGAAGCTTAGCCGAACCGCAAATATTTGTTTGGGTTGTTACGAGCGCTCGCTACGCGTCGATAGAAATGAAGTCATCCAATTTTCGACATTGGATCAGACGTGGGGATTGCGACTGCCACAGAGGACCGTATTGGACAAAGTTGCTTGCTAGACGCCACGAGTGCGAGCGGTTAGGATTCGCGTGGGCGTTTAAAATCGACAAGGCGAGGATCCTGCTTGTGCTGACGCCAGTGAAACGTCAAGCTTTTTTTGCGGCTGCTGCTGATTCGCTGAAAGTCAGGATCGCTTTTTGACAAATCGCTAGCAACGGCGGACAGGTTCAGAATTTAATACCGACACTTTTGATTCGTCTAAAGCACGGATCTAGTATTTGAAGGATAAAAAATTATACTTTTTAATACATGCACACATGCAGTGCTTGTGCTGCTTCGTACTAGCACACTTGTAGCCATGTCCACATGTCTTCGCGTGCTCTGCTAGACCAGAGCATAAGCACAGCGGACGAATCGCGCTGCAACAGGAACCTTCCGTCCTAACTAGAAACAATTAGCACTTTTGTCAGCGTTTATCTGTAGTGTAGGTACGCTGTGTATAGATGAAGAGATATTTCAGAGTGTCTATTTACGTTCCGTTATGCCATGTGCAAGATCTCTGGCATAACCTAGACCAGGAAGTAAGCACTGGTGGACCCGGGGGATTTTTGTGGCCGGTGCCAGTAACCACTGGCAATAATCTTGGTTCGCGTTCCAGCAACTCGATGCAGGCATGCAGCAATGCCCCAGTTATTGCCGACGCTACTTGTTGATGCTGCCGCTTCGCTAATGCTAAAAGCTGGCGGATGCACGAGGCGCAAAAACTCTCGGTCCCTCGTGTATTATTGATACGCTCTGCCCGGAAGACTGCTGCAATTTGGTTAGTCCAAATTTTCGTCTGGCACATCGTCGTGAGAATGTGCCAGATGGTCGTCCATACAAGGGTGGCCAAGGCCATATCGTCCTAAAAATTTCGGTGAAGAAAGTCATCCGGTGTGAAGGTATTCTAGGATCCTGTCTACTGGCGCAGGCGTCCAGGGACTGGTGGTTCCGCAGACGGGACGCTCGTTCTCCTGTCCAGTGCTCGATGAGTTTAGTTCAGAGGGCAGCGGTGCGGTTGCACTCCCAAAAGAGATGCTAGATAGTCTCGACACACCCGTGACAGGCTGATGCCTTTCTGCAACTGTTGTCCTTAAGACGTGACGCATGGTAAAGGCCCAGACTTGATAGTGAGAGAGTCCATGACTATGGTCCCACACTTGCTGCGGAGGCGCTCTGCCACTCGTCCGTAAGAGCCCTGGCGTCGATACGGGTAAGATAATCTAGTAGGGGGCAGGAGAACACTGTCTTGTGAAACCTGAAAGCCTGGCGATCGAGATCCTGAGTGATGTGGTTGTTGGACGTGGTGTCCGGAACGAACCAAGGAAAACGGTGCAACAGCGGTTCGCCTAAAAAAAAGAGCCCCCGTGTCAGGAGTTTGCAGCGATTCGCCCGTCGAGCGTTTGCAGAATCGGCGATATGCTCCGGCACCGACCCATAAAAAAACTAGTGCAGCCCGTCACTTGCTTTTTCAAAGTAAAGTCCGCCGTCGGATCCGCGACCTATACGATGGTGTTCCTTCACTGATTCCGGCGCTTTGCATTCGCCAGGTGTAGCGTTCCGTGAGCGATGGTGTATGTCGGAGTAGCAGTGATGGCTGCTCGTTGAACGCCGCCCCAATGGGTAATTCTAGGGAGGATAACAGCAAGCTTTCGCCCACCTCCGTACTTAATCGGCCGATTGAGAACCAAGGAGGTGTTGCTTTAGAGGCATGGTCAACACGAATTTTGTCGGCGCTGTGTACAGGTGGAGCAAGCGGCCTTCATAGTATCAGATCCGGTTCACAACCAAAGAAGGCATTTGGTATCGGATGGCGACGACAATGGTGTCTGTCTGTCATCCTCTGTCTTGCGCAAAGGGTTCGTGTTTAAAGAAGGGCCCGGAGTAGGAGAGCGCGTGACGATGTTGAAGTAAATCACAGATCTGGCACTGACCAAATGCAAACATTGCAAAAAATTTACCAACAGCATAATCAGTCCCACGTCGTGACGGAAATTAACATGTGTCACGCTATTCTATGGGTGACATGATTATTGTAAGTCACAAAGTGTTAAAAGTAGTATTGACATGAAATAAAAATTATCATTGCATTATATGTCCGGCGAAAACGCAGCCATCGACATGGGCGTGGTTCGTGCGCCGTTGAATTGATCTTGTCCATCACAACGAAAAGATCGCTGCAAAAAATGTTTGACTGGTGACGTGTATGATCCATTGATGGTCCTGCAGCAGCAATTGTCGATTGGCTACAATCACTCGCCGCCGTCGGGGACCGCTGCTTCCTACTATCAGCCAATCATATTCTAGCAACAGTTTAGCTGGTCAAAATCTAACGAGCCCACCGACCCGGCGGCCAGCTGTCCCCTCATCGTAGTGACAACTAGTGACTCTGGCCAAGTCTCCACGTGACATCCAAGCTGAAGCGACCTTTGACCCAGGAGCTCCTTCCCTCTTGCTGCCATTACCTTCACCTGCTGCGGCCGTGATGGTCTACTCTATCCAGGGCGGCTGTATGCAGCGCTCATCTCGCTCACGCTTGCGTCTAATCTCGTGCTCATCCCCGTGCCTCTCCAGCTCATTACGTCGGCCTCTGCCATCGTTTACATTGGCTCGACGCTCTCTCTGAGGCTTCAGCACGCGCGTGTCGCCAGTGGCGAGAAGAACGAGGAAGCGTGAAGGCCAAGGACGCCTACATGTTCCCGCTCATTGGTTCGGGCGTGCTGTTGGGGTTCTATATCCTCTTCAAGGTATTCGACAAGGACCTTGTGAACCTCCTGCTGACTTTGTGCTTGTTGGCGCCTATAGTCCCACCGAGGCGTTCAGTCCACTGGCGCTCTCGCCACTGTTCAGAGGCAGCTCGAAGACGTACACGCGCACCTCGAAAGTGCCGTTCTACGCCCGTACAAGCTCGTGCTGTCGCAAGCTAGGATGCTTACGGTCGTGCTGGCTTCCATCATTGCAGCAGCCTGGTTTCAGACCAAACACTACTAGCTGAACAACATTTCGGTGCCTCTCTGTCGATCAAAGGGAATGAATGCTTTCGCTCGCTACTTTTTAAGTGGGCGCGATCTGCTTTGTGGACTCTTTTTCAATGACATTTTCTGGGTCTTTGGCACGGACGTCATGGTCACGATTGCCACGTCGCTCGATGCGCTGATCAAACTGATCTTCCCATGTAAGTTTGCTACTGATACGAAGAAGCAGAAGAGCTCGATCTTGGGCCTTGGAGACATTGTGATTTCCGGTATCTCAATGGCACTGCTGCTGCGATTCGACGCAAACCGTGCGAATGTAACCAGTAACGACCAGTCGTTACCCAAGCCGTTTTTCCACGTGAACATGCTGTGCTATGTGCTGGGTCTAGTGGCTACAGTTGCGGTCATGTACTTCTTTGATGCGGCACAGCCAGCACTGCTGTACCTTGTGCCGGTGTAACGGGGCACCCTGAAGCTTGTACTGGTGACAGTACAAGCTACTTATTCTGATAACAGAATAAGGCGGTGCCTCGTAACTTCACGTACACTCGTACGTGCAGAGGAAGACGGTAAGAAGAAGCGAGTACTCGGTTAGAGTAAAAAGTAGAACTGTATTTATAATAGTTAATGTCTGCAATAAATCACTATTTATCTTCATCTAACTATGTCTAAATACAAATGTGTAAATCAGTTATCTGCTCACCACTCATTGCGTGCGTCTGTCGTGGCGCGTCTTCGTTGGTTGATATAATGGCCTATATCAACCAATTAGGAACTACTTGGAAGTGCTACAGAATATTGTCCTTATGACAATATTCTGAGAATATAACTCTTATAGTTATATTCTATTAACAATTTCTTATAAATTGTTATGTAACGATTCACCCCGTTACATCACCCCCCTTAACCATCAGTCACTTTAGTGACTGATTGACTAAATGGATACTCGTCCCAAATCATTTGGGACGGGGTTTGCACTTGTTGGTCCGCGTCCACTTTCCAACATCTCATCGCATGGTAAACAAGCCCATGCGATGCGCGAGCAAGGCCGCCGAGAGCGCGTCTGCACGTCTCTGTGCGGACGCCGAAGCAGAAACTACAGCAACTGATATCCCATCGGTTGCTGAATCGACTCAGCCTGTATCACCTGGTGATGCAGGCGCTGGTCATGAAGACACTCGTGTCTTCACAGAGTACGAGCTCGGTGTCTCGTACTCTCCTGATACGGATGACGGATCCGTATCGACGGCAATTGAATCCAAGCCGCCTGCCAAGCGTGGCATGGACGATGCTTTGCGTCGCAGCATCTTTGGTTCATCTGATGAGTCAGATGAACCATCGCCGAAGCGAAGGCGCTCGAGGTCGCGAGACTCGGGCGCTAATAGTGGTGTCGGTTCTCCAATGGACACCACTTCGCAGCGAGGTGCCAGTACTTCTGTCGGCACGTCGCAGGAAGAGCGGGACCGCAATGTGTTGCGTCTCGCTCCAGAAAAGAAGGCATGGATGCCTCCTAAATCCGTCATGGATCACTTGTCGGCGACGACGAGTGATCGTTATCGAACACGATTGTTCGATTCGTCAAGGATTCATCACCTTGACCCCAGCGCGAAAGACTATCGCGCTGAACATGAGTTCTTCATCGATGCTTTCTTCAGACATCGATGGTACAGTGGGAATCACAAACGTGATGGTCCCTCACTACTTCAGGCGTGGAACGCCTACATCCATAATCTCGAGGATGTAGGTCGTGACGCTTGGAACGACAAACTTATCAAAGCTCGTGATAAGTTTGAAAAGCGAACCCCGACAGGTGCACGCTATAAGCTGCATCGTCTGTCAAGGGAGAAAGGATTACCCTGCCTCTCTTGGGGAGACTCGTGCCCATGTTGTGTGAACAACTCTGCACGAGCACCTAAGGAGGCTTACCTCCTTACCAGCCCGTGGTGGCGCGTACGTGTCTCTACTGAGATGTACGAAGGGATTGACAACCTGAAATCCCTTTACGACCGTGCCGGGAAGACTTTCTCCGGCGGTCCTTCTGCGGCACAGGATGTGTCGCGTCGTACTGCTCGACCAGACCCAGTACGTCAACCATCAATTGGGAGCGGGGCTCCCAAGAATCCCAGGACGGGGGATAGCCGCGCCACCGGACGAGGTAACTCGTCCGACGTCCGTTCACGTCGCGGTGGTTCAACAGCTGCTCTACTAGATAGCGCTGGCCACCGCGAGAGTCCTCTAATGGAGGTGGAGGAGGAGGAAAGACGCTCTCCACACGATCATGTGGATCGGTGTGTTCCCGAGAGCTTCTTTGATCGCGTAACGCAAGGGTTACGCGACGATCTCGAGCATGAGCGGAATAGGCGTCTCCAGATGGTGGACACTGCCTCGAAGCATCGAGCTGAGTTTGCCTTTGCTCAGCTTGAGAACGAGAGATCTCTGACATCTCTTCGTGACGAGCTAAGGGTAGCTCGTGGGATTGTTGATCGGTCTCGGGATGAGATAACTGCTCTTCAGACCCTTGTTGATGCCCACCATCGGGAGCACAAGGCTCTCTGCGAGATGCTTGAGCGCAAGGGCGTTCTTCATCGGAAGAAGCAGCGTACTGATGGTACGGCTTAAGCCGACCAACGTAAAACGTGGGATGCGTTCGCATCTTACGTGGTAACTCGATCGTGTATGCATTGCCTAGGCGGTGCAATACACGAAATGGGCCAATGTACTTGGGTAGTAGTTTACTGCTACCCAAGTTAGTCACTACATGTTTTGGTAGATTAACCGTAGACAGTAGGACTAAGTCACCTTTATTAAATAAAAGAGTGTTTGCCCTTCCATTCTTGTCAGCGTTTTGCTTTTGCTTATCCACCGCTTCGGCGATGGAGTCTTGCACAAAACGGACTACCGTTTCACGAGCCAGTATGAACTCATCTGATGACTCGTTAGCTTCAGTGTGCTGTGAGCGCACTGCAGCGACAACAACCTTTTCTTCAGTGAGGGCTTCCGCACTCTCACTGGGATCATTGTCTTCAGTGAGGGCTTCCGCACTCTCACTGGCATCATCTTCTTCGATATCGATGTTATCGATATCGGCATCAAACGCAATGACTTCTTCGTCAGAGCGTGATGAGCGTGAACCAAATCGGTTTTTGCTCGCGCGAGTCCCTCCCCCCTTAAACCAGAGTTACACTCTAGTAAGGTGGGTACACGCGGATGGCGCAAGCCATTCACGTAAAACGGTGTATGTGTCGTGGACGCATGCACCGAGTTGTTGATGGCAAACTCTACCATTGGCAAAAACTCACTCCAACTCTTAAAGGAGTGTACGTATCCTCGAAGTATCTCTTCGAGGACACGGTTGGCACGTTCCGTCTGACCATCTGACTCTGGATGATCAGATGTAGACATCTTCAAGCGCGTTCCGAGTGATTTGAACACGGAACGCCAGAAATCAGCAGTGAATCGTGGATCTCTGTCTGATACGAGTTCACGGGGCAACCCATGAAGTCGGAAGATGGTGTCAATAAAGACACAAGCACAGCCACTTGCCGTGATTGTCTCTGGTACAGCCACAAGGTGTACCATTTTGCTGAATCTGTCAACAAATACGAGAATACCCGTATTCCCGCGTGCGTCTTTGGGTAACCCGAAGACGAAATCCATTGAGATGGATTCCCAGCACTCAGCCGGAACCGGTAGAGGCTGTAAAGGTGCACGCAGTGAAGGACTTGACTTCACTCGTTGGCAGACTTCGCATGCGCGAACATACTTTCGCACAAACTGATACTGGCGGGGCCAGTAAAAGTCTCGACGTACCGTGAGATATGTTTTCTCTCGGCCACGATGTCCTCCTATAGGAGCATCGTGATACTCGAACATGATCCGCAAACGCAGATCAGTATCATCTGGAATGACAACACGTGGTGTGTCACCAGAAACGGCTGTATAGTACAGTAAACCGTTACGAGTAGTGTATCGATCTGATGCAGATCGATACGCAGACGACAATCGTTTCAACGATTCTCGAGATGGTTGGGAGAGATGTGACAACAACTTCACTATCTCACCATCTTGGGCGTATGCCCGCCTCACATCATCATACAACGTTGTAGATGGAACTGAGGACGTCATAACCGCAACAGTGACTGTCTCACTGTTGGGTTTCGCGACTGTTTCAAAGTCGGGACGACGTGAGAGTGCATCAGCGACGACATTAAGTCGTCCTGGTTTGTACTCGACCGTAAAGTTGTATTCTGCAAAGAATGACAACCACCGCGCCATTCGTTGTGAAAGGTGCGGGCTGTTCACTGCCGTGCGTAAGGACGCATGGTCAGTGTAAACAACGAAGGGTCTATCTCCTAATAGATAGACTCTGAACTTCGCGAGTGCATACTTCATGGCAAGGAGTTCCTTGTCATGCACTGGATAGTTCCGCTCAGCTGGTTGCAGCTGACGCGACTGATAGCAGACGACGCGTTCAACGCCTTCAAGGTCGTACTGCATTAATGCACAGCCGATTGCGAAATCGCTGGCATCACAGACCACATGAAATGGCCTGTCCTGATCGGCTATTGCTAGGACTGGGGATTGTATCAAGCTCTGCTTGATACCCTCAAAGGAGCGTTGACATTCAGCGTTCCATAACCACCTCTCGTTCTTTTTCAACAAACGAGAGAGGTGTACAGTCATCTCGGCGTAATTGCGTGAATACTTATGCAAATACGCCGCTAGCCCAAGGAATTTTCGAAGACCTTTGACATCGACCGGCACGGGCCAGTCGGTGATCGCCTTGATCTTTTCGGGATCAGGACGTACACCGTTCTTACCAACGATGCACCCAAGAAGTGGTATTTCGCTTGCTGCAAATATACACTTCTTGAGGTTTGCATACAATTGATGCTTTCGCATGATTGTAAGAACTTGTCGGACGTGGTACTTGTGAACCTCAACGTCCGACTTTCCATCCATAGCTCGACTATGGATGAATACGTCATCGAAATAACTCGGCGCGAATTCTCGTACTGGCCTCAACAGATGTGATACACATCTGTTGAACGTGGCAGGGGCATTACTGAGCCCTTGTGGCATTACTAGCCATTCCCAGAGCATGCCGCTAGGCGTGCTAACTGCGGTATAGGGTATATCCCGTTCCCGCATAAGGATTTGATAGAAGCCATCCATCAAATCCATGGACGAAAAGATGGTACTCTTTGACATACCATCAATGATTACGTCCTTCCTCGGTATCGGCGTCTGAGCCGGTACCGTTGCAGCGTTCAATTTGTTGAACGCGTGCACTATCCGCCACCCTCCTGTTGCTTTTCGCACACAGAAGGTCGGAGAGCTATGTGGGGAAGTTGATTCCCTCACATGGCCCGCAGCTAAACGATCGGCAAAGAACTTGTCGATCGCAAGTACTTGTTCACGAGGCAGTGGCCACTGCTTCATGACACAGTACTTCGAGCCTGGTTTAAGCTCGACCTCGTGTCGAATACCTTTATCCTTCGGTAATTCGCACGGAACAGTTTCAGGGAATACATCCTTGAATTCAACCAAATCTTCATAGAGAGGATTTTTCTTGAGCGATTCCCATGATTGGGAGTCATATCGCTCAATTCGTGTCTTTTCATCTAGGACACTCTCGTCCATAGATGAACTACTGAGAACTCTCTCGTTCTCAGTGAACACTGTTGCTGACCTTATGTCGGTTACACACTCGTCGTCAGCGACGAGTATGCAGATCTGCTTGACTTTGCCACTACGCAGATCACGCAAGAACCTTTTATGTTCGAGCGTTGGCAACTGAGTGATCTCCGAAGTTAACTTCGGAGGCGCAATCAGATCAAGTGTATAAGCGCCTACACTTGATCCGTTATTGACTATGACATTCAATGTCTCTGTCATTTCCTGGGGACTTATTCCCTCAGGCTTCGAAGGACTTATTCCTTCGTCTTCCCGGGGACTTATTCCCGCGGGTTTCGGGGAACTTATTTCCGCCGTATTTGTAATCTTGGGACTTATTCCCTTTACTTCCTCTAGCTGGGGTTGCGCAACCACAGCGAGATCCTCTACGAAAGACTCTCCAGTCGATCTAGGATTATCGTTTCGCTTAACCTGAGCGATCGATTGTTTCTCTTCTAGATGTTCCCCTCTAGGGATACATCTTTGTCCCAGTCCACCCGACTTATTCGAGTGGTGGACCTTCGGCGCAGCCTGTGTTTCCTCACAGCCGCCGGAACTTTGCTCCGAAGTGTAACCGTTTGGTACACTAAGGTTTTGTGCAGTCGTACTAACGACCGTACCACAAGTGAGGCCATCGCACTCACTCGTAGTACATCCACACGCTTGTGGACGCTCCAAAACGTTCATCAGATGGCCATCTGATGAACAAGCGGCAGGCATCGTTACTGTCCGATGTTGCCAGTTTACCCGTGGTTCGTACCTTCTGAGCCACGGTATTCCAAGGATGACATCAAATTTGTCATCCAAATCCAATACGATAAAGTCATCGTCGTATTGGGTATCTTCTAGCGTATAGTGAATCTTCACTATACGCTTCATGACGGTTACGGATGCGCCTGTCGCAAGACGTACCGTCATCCTCGTAGGAGGTGTGTCACATTCACTGAATTTAAAGTGACCATCTTCTAGCGATTGGCGTCGCACAAAATTGTTGGACGCCCCACAATCGACTAGAGCTCGAAGGGACAACTTATTCGTCACTTCGAGTTTCAAGGTAATGAGTGAGATCTCATTACCTAGAGCAGCAACGCACAATGTCTGTGTGTTGGGAGCAACCTTCATCAAGAGGCCTACAAATTCTCTTGACGTTGCTGGATCAGTAGGGTGCTCCGCACCTACTGATCCTGTCCGTTTTTTGACGGTCCATCCCGTTGTTGCGTCTTTGCACCAACTGCGGACCCTCGTCCCTGCCCCTTTCTCATGGGTGGACGGTCACTACGCCCAGTGTCGCGAGACACTGGACGAGGGGCACTACACTCGTAAGCGTAGTGTCCTGTCTTTTGACATCTGTTGCATCTCTGCAACTTCTTGTAGCCTGTAGAGCGAGCCTTCTCGCTCTCTACATAACAGAGTTCCATCGGCTCTGGACCTCCGTTGTCATATCGTCTCGGTTGACGATATGATGTCGAGCTGGCGCGAGCCTGTCTCAGACTGAAGTCTTCCTGCTCCGCAATTGAAATGGCTTGTTCTAGTGAATCTAGTTCAAGCCGGAACAGGTGAGTCTTGACGGGACCATCCGCAAGACCCTGCATGAACACCGAAACCAACGTGTGTTCATCCACCGGATTGGAACTTATACAACTCGTGAGATGTCGTATATGTTGAGCGTAAGCGTGCACATCACGCTTACCCTGCTTGAGCTTCAAGAGTTCGGTTCGAGCTCTGAACTCAGCTCTAGGCGGTTCAAACGTTTGTCTGAGCCGCGACTTGAAGACTTCCAACGACCCAAACGCATATGGGTCGTGCAGCTTGAGCCCCAGTGCCCAAGTCTTGGCACGTCCTGCCAGATTTGACTGGGCAAATGCAACTTGCATATCCCCGTCGTCGATGCGACGCGCCCTTATGGCGTCATCCAATTCGACGAACCATCTCAAGAGGGAGTCTTCTTCGACCCCCTATACTTTGAGATGTCAATCTTCAAAGTCTCGGGCCGACGCGAGTGCATCGACCCGCCAGCAGCAGCCTGCTGCTGTCTCAACAGTTCAAACTGTTGAGCACCTTGTTCTCTCAACAACTCTGCTTGTTGAGAACCTTGTTGGTGAAGCAAGGCTACTTTCTCGCGTTCTGCGTCAAGTTCACTTTGAATGAACTTGGCGATAGTAGCATGTTGGGCATCTCTATTGAGAGCCTCTAGCATGACGCTAACAGCATGGATGCCCATGGTCGAACCCATTCGTTCAACCGCATCCCATTCGACATCGCTCAAATGGGAGTAGCCGTCACGCGTAGCGTGAAAGCTTTGGTCATCTTCATCATCCAACATATTCATGTTGGATGTGAACGCGGTCCTTGGACGGACTACAAAGTGCTACCAGGTGTAACGGGGCACCCTGAAGCTTGTACTGGTGACAGTACAAGCTACTTATTCTGATAACAGAATAAGGCGGTGCCTCGTAACTTCACGTACACTCGTACGTGCAGAGGAAGACGGTAAGAAGAAGCGAGTACTCGGTTAGAGTAAAAAGTAGAACTGTATTTATAATAGTTAATGTCTGCAATAAATCACTATTTATCTTCATCTAACTATGTCTAAATACAAATGTGTAAATCAGTTATCTGCTCACCACTCATTGCGTGCGTCTGTCGTGGCGCGTCTTCGTTGGTTGATATAATGGCCTATATCAACCAATTAGGAACTACTTGGAAGTGCTACAGAATATTGTCCTTATGACAATATTCTGAGAATATAACTCTTATAGTTATATTCTATTAACAATTTCTTATAAATTGTTATGTAACGATTCACCCCGTTACAGCCGGCGTGTCGGGGCTCAGCGCTGATTACTGCATTCGTTCGTGTCGAGTTGAATGAGCTGCTGAGTACTCGGAGGAGGAAGAAGAGGAAGAGAAGAGCGGCAGTGTAAAGGACAAGGAAGAAGACGACGAAGAGGAGACTAAAAGTCCAAGCAGGCAACAAGTGGGAGAGCCGTGATGGTCAATTGTTTGCAAGACAAGCAGACTATTGTACTCATGACAGGTTTGTCAAAGATGGATCGAAAGATACTTTTGCACTAAGGATCATTGCTGATTGACGAACGCTGGGTGTAGCATGACCAGTTCGAACAATGGCATTTACCACTTGCTACGAAAATGGCTGATCATGTATGAGTCATGATCGGCGATATGATCAGAATTTGCAATTATAGGTTGACAACCGATAATCTCCCAGTTTTAAATGACGCTACATGATTGGTTAATTTATAGACATGCTTTGAGGGAACTATATCACTACAACCGGTTTTTCAACATCTATTTGACCTACTTTGAAAAGTACGATTTATAAGCTCGGTATCCAACCTTGCACACAGTCACTGATGGCTTCATCCTTCAGGCTCACAACAAAATATTGAGCACAGATAATGACTTGTTGCTGCAGAGACCAGTCGCTTCCATTACAGCATATTCGCAACAGAAATACGGCTCTTAATAATTCATGCTGCTCGTGTTGCTTCTGAGAAGAGGTGGTGCAAACTTACCTTAGTGTAGCTACGCAATAACAAGAACTTCGAGGTGTCCATCGACTTCAACTGTAGACGAATGCTTCAGACTTCAGCTTTAGACGAACTACAACATGTAATCTCATTGACATTGCTGCTTTCCGACTCTGTCGCTATTGACATTCCCGCATAAACTCCAATGTACCTGACCCTTCCGCAGCTCTTGCACGGCTCACGATGCCGATAAGCACGTCCTACGCTAGTTGGGCCATGATAAGCGGTCCTAAGAATCCCCTTGGCATGACACTATGCCAGTCTCTTCTCCAGCGCAGAGCGTTCAGAAGTCCACAGCAAGGACCTCGGTACATTCCGGCTTGTTCATTTATAGCTTCGACGCAAAGTTACGTCCGTGGCATGTGACCGCCTTAAGTGGTTGAGTTCCACCCCCAAGACCATCCGCACAGCCGTAACAGGCAACCACGACTATATTCTCTGCTTACGAAAGCGCAACTAGATAAAGGAGATGACTCGCTCCAGTTCAAGCTCCAGCAAGTCGTACGATCGGTCGTGATCAGCGTTCTTGCAATGACAGGCCTCCTTACAACCCTGATCTAATCACCGTCATCGACGCTACTAACAACACAAGTGCTTACTGAGTCGTACTGGACTTCTCCAGCTATATGGTGCTCAAGTTTGTCGGTGTGACGAGGGATCTACTGCAAAAAAGTCCGTGCTGTTGGCTGCCTCGTGCAAACCTATTGCTGACGTCTTCGTGCCACGAGGTATGCAGTAATAATACCTCTACCCAGCCGAAGTGGCTTGAAATATCGACGAGCGCCGTAGTTGACACGAGCTTTGAGAAGTGGTCATGGGAGTTGAATTTGTAAAGCATTCGTCGTTGCTGTTGAGCTTCAGTTGATGTGGACTCTGGACGCAAACGTGACGGACTAAAAAGGCATTGAGACAAACAAGTTGACCGAGCTCTGTGCTTGTAATGGAATCGAGTGCAGCAACTGTAAAGGCACAAGAACCTTAAAACGTCCAGCAATACAAGAACAGGTTTTGTCATTAATTTACACGGGCTGGAGAGATTTTAGAGGAGATCAAATCTTCATACTCTCGTTGAACTGTCCGCAGAATCATGCAGACACTCGAGAATGATTTGTGCATTACATTGGACGTATAGTTAGATCTACATTTCTCATGTGAGCCCAACCAAGGAGTAATTTATCCAGGTTCGCACTTCAACTTTGGTTTAGTGTCAGACATTGTATAACGCCACTAAGCGACTGGCTACCACTCGTTTCGTAATGAATCTCTTCCCAACGCCAACTGTAAATGACAATGAGACTCGTTACTGCTTCTTCCTGCCTGCTGCTAATGCAAGTCCGACGTCCGACGAGTGTCTTCAGGAAGCAGAGAATCGATGCCGTGCGTTCCAGTCCTATGCAGCACAACAGACGGAGGGATTTCTATGGCACAAACATTCCTTTCATCTGCAAGTGCATCGAACCAGAGATGGGCGTTATATTCTGTCTGGATCGTCAGCTGTCGGCGATGCGATTCAAGACGAGTGGGTCGTGGCTAAATTGGTGTTTGACATCACCAATGAGTTCCCAGGTGTCGTGGGACGTATCGTGGACTCAGATGGAGAGTTTTTGCTTATTGAAAGTGCCGAAGCGCTGCCAGATTGGGTCACACCGGAAACCTGCGATCGTCGGGTATTCGTGCTGAATGGAAAGCTTCACATTGCACCTCCTGCTCCTGCCATCCGGATCAGAAAAGAGAGGGATTTGTTTGACGACGATGCATTAGAGCAAGTGCTGGACACCAGCTTGAACACGGAGGCCAGTACTGCGGTGCAGCAACTCATTCAGTGTAAATTGGACGAAATACCGACCTACATGCGTGAAAATCGTCAAGCAGTGCACTGTTTATTACCGGAGAGAGCTGCCCGAGTGCTTCTAGTGAATAGAGAATTGGTGGGCCCAGCAGTTGAAGCGTTTTACTATCGAGAACCAAAGCAGACGGGCCTCGTATGTGGCAAGATGGCAACGTTCATGCCGGAAGGGGATGAAGTAGTGGAGCAGAGAGTCACATTCTCGCGAGCGATGTTTGCTCAGCTCAAGTATCAGGAATTCTTTCCACCAAAAGTGTTTCTTCGTCGCGATGCACGTTATCGTGTAAAGGAGAAGAGTGCAAAGGGCGTAGAAGATGCTGACCGTGATGCGCAAGCAGGAGATCTTGGCGTTAAACTTGCCTGTGGTCTGGAATTGCTCTATGTTGGTAACGGTGAAGACCAGCTGGGCCGACATTGGAAGCAGATAATCGAGGAATCGCTGCAGCAAACTGACGTTAAGGTGCCAATACAACCAATCTCTGAGCCAGACGATGACGATTCGTGGCTGTACATGCACCCCGACACGCTGGAAAGTCAACTGCAGCGTGCTGCTAAAGCTAAAGACCCTTCTGTTCCTGGTGGCGCCGACGACTTACAGCACATGGCCGCTATGTTTGGCAATTTCGTCGATGGTGTTTCGGGTGTTGGTGGCGTGGAAGGACCACAACCTGTTCAATTCGATGTGAGCTCCTTTATGGACATTCTAGGTGGCCACAAAGCTAATGGTAAGGATGATGCAGGTTTGGATGCACCCTGGGGAGAGCACTTTATGGACGAGGATGAGTCCAGTCAAAGTGACAGTAATGATGGATCGGTTGGAGGAGGGAGCGACATTGATGGCGATTTGGCCTTCGAAATGAGTGAAATGGAAATGGCGCTTAAAGGAACCAAGGCTGCAAAAAGCTTTCGCTGTTCGGGCGACGCAGAGAATGATCAAGGAGACGTTGAGTTTTCCGCACGAGGAAGTGAGTCGCTCAAGCCGCTGGACCTGGATTACAATTTGCTGTCCAACTTGCTTGAGTCATTCGCATCTCAAGAGGGTCATCCTGGACCCGTCAGCACTATCCTAAACGAAATGGGATTTTCCAAGACATCACTATGAGAACTGTAGTCCAGTGCAGTTGACAATCCGCATTTAGCTGCTTTGGCGTCGCGAAAAGTAAACAACTGCTCAGCTGTCTACAGTGTCCCATCCCGCACATCTCGCACTCGATAATTTTCTTACTCTACATAATGCCGAGTATCTGTAGCTCTTATATTTAACAATACTAATGGGAACCTAGAATACACTTTTGCCAGAGTCATAATTTATACGTGTGCACGTCAGGTTCATTGTGTTTACAGACTAACATAGCTCAATCTTTCTGCTTCGACATGCCTCAAGGCGCTTCGAGATGCTCGTATAGATGATCCGGTTGCTCCCGACAACAACCCGATGGACGTTCGAGATCCAGCAGGGATCGCAACTTAAGGTTTTGGTGCTACTAAATTTCTTTGGTAGGTTTTCAATGCGTAAGCTTCCGGACTCAATGTGTTAAGCTTTCATCGAATCTATAGTCATTTGATACATAGCTTTTCTATAAGTGTTCAGTAATCTACCTATCACCAGGATTGCTTTCGAGCAAGTGCATAGACCATGTCACTGATACGACCATGATGCAAGACTTCGTACACGCTGGAACTGAACTGAAACGATGTTGACACGTGCGATTACTCATCGTGAACGCGTTACCACCATGCATATAAAGGGTTCCTGCTTGCCTAAGAACGCCCTCTACGGTGTCGATTGGAATACGACGGAAAAACACGATACTGCCTTTACACCCGATGAAACCAGGTAAGCACTGAACACATTGCGGTTCCGTGCCTTTTGCAATTTTTTGTAGGGAACGTGTCCAATGATCCCGTCCTGCAGTGTTTCGTGGGATATTCCGTCTTGCGCGGGAGGAGCTCTTACGTAATCAATGCCAAATCAACCTTACACGTCGCAATGCGATGTAGTCTGTCACCTATTGTGTTCGTAAGTAACACTAGATGTGCTTGCACGTCGTACCAAGTGCGATATAGTTGCGAGTCCGAAGGGAGAAACTATTAGTGACTGAGCGCAAGGTACGTAAATATACAGAGCTTGATTCTATTCGATGGACTGAATTACTTATATAAAAGGGCGAGCACCAGAGCTTGATCTCTGTGTTGTGTTGCACCATTGTGCTTTCAGCCCCACTCTCGATCGAGGCTCCCATAGCAGTCGGCATAGCGTTAGCAGATGTTAATGGACTGAACTGCTGAAGATGACTGATTACTTTGGTACCACAGGGTAAGAAGTGCTTGCTGTTACTAAGGGGCGAGGCTAATCCGTACTTTGAATTTTGCTATTCCGTACTGCAAACGCCGTCAAAAGTTTTTACGAGCTCCTTATTAGCTTAATAGTAAATTTTATTTGTACTATGCTACATATAGAAGGTCAGAGGAGCGGAGTTTAAAGAGCTTCCATTGATTGGATTTAAAGCTGAGCCTTAGGGACGGATTGAACATCATCAAATGGAAGAATATCAATGTTCAAATCTATCTCTGGAGCACCAAATGTTGCTGACTCTTCGAGCTAGATCTGGTGTGGCGATATTGCACCCAATAGTCTACCGAATCTAGTTTTGCAGCACAAGCGAGCTGCTACTTCCTGGATGCAGCTCTAATTGATCATGCAGCGACTTCAGTCAATGTACTAGCAAAAACCGTTGTATAACTTGACTCAGTGATGGCTCGCGCTTATCCCGGCCATCATCTTCGGCCTCGTGCTCGTAAACGCCGACTACACATTGTACCAATAGCTGAAACTCAGTCTTGGAGATATCATTTCATGACAACACTGTATCAAGGATACGTGACTTCTGTTGCTTGTCTGCCCTTCATCCTGCGGGAAAAAGCCGTCTACTACCGCAAGTTTGACGCGCGGACGTACAAAACGCTCTGATACTGCCTCGGCATCACGTTCGACGATATTTCCTTTGCCTTTGGCAGCAGTCTCCTCTTCACCACTGTTTTTTCCTCTACTCGGCTTCTAGTCCTTCAGCAAGGCTATTCTCCACTGGATCAACATCCTTTTCTACCAGCTTATGCATACGCTCCTAGGCCAGCTGTCCAGTGGCGAATTCGTTGCCGTTGTGAGCGTCCTCACAAACTTCATGTTCTTGGTCTCTGCTGGGTTCAACCCGCCTGCTGCTGTCATCTTGACCTAATCGATGGCTCTATGAAGCCACTCCACAGCGCTATTCCCTCTCGATCCCCGTCTCGCTCGTGTTCGGCAACTGTCCTGAAGATCCTGTTAGAAGTCAATACACAAAGGTAGAGACAGAGTACACACAGTTAGATGCAAAAGAGAAAGGGGTATTGATATCATTACCTTTTTGGATTCTAGCAAATGTCATCTGCAGGAGAAACTACCACAGTTGCTCGACGCAAACATAATGTCAAAATGGTACTTGTACCACTTTAGTTGAACATCCACTTGAATGCGTGCCTTTTAACAGATACGGTGTACGATGAGGTTATGAAGAGGTACACCAACGTGCGGTCAAAACCCGCGTATTAATTCCTACGGAGGCACCGCCGTGTGAAGCTGTCCATCTCTCGAATGCGACACGAGTTTCTTTGAACGCGTTTAACTCTTTTCCTCCACAATGGGTTGTACAAACGCCAAATCGAAAGTTAATTTGCAATTTGTTGCCAGTAGGGTGGTCGCTTTTAGGATCAAAGTTTTCCCCTCCATCATATATCTTCTCACAGTCTTTGTCATGATTTCTTCGTCATGGGTGTCTCCAGTTTTGCGACTGACTATATGGCTGTAGTCGCCAGTAGACACTTGTATCTAATGGTCGGTAGTTCCAAAGTAAATGGAAATTTCGCCTTGTACAGTATGCTTCAGGTCAGCGCTCGCACTGCCTGTACCGTTTGTTGGTATTTGAACCAAAGGACGATATCAATGAATGTCGTGTGGTCAGCTACACTATACGAGTCATATGAAGCTCGTGTACAGGGAATTTAATGCAGTCATTGGGAGCTCTTTAATCTCCGCACCTCTGACCTTCTTTATATAGCATAGTAAATGTAAAATTTATCTATCAAGCTAATTAGCTGTTCGCAAAAATATTTGACGCCATTCGCAGTACAGAATAGCGAAATTCTAAAAACAAATAGCCTTGCCCTTTTCAAAGTAAAACATTTCTGTATTTTTGACTGGCACAGCTAGTCATCGTCAAGCATCATGCATGGCGAAAAAAGTAGTTGCTGGACGGAGAGTCATTTGTCCACACTTTCTTCGATCTACTTATAGCTATTGTCGCACAACTAAGACAGACTATCTAAATCTCTTTTGTTTCACACAAACTTCGCCGGAGCGTTTTATGTCTAGTAGCATTTTACCAAAAAGAATAGACTATTGTTATCCCACATGAGCAGTACAGTGTCGGTGATACAACGACCTTGTCTTTTCCATCGTGTTTACGGATGCTAATCGCATCGACATACATGACCATTGTAACGGGGCACCCTGAAGCTTGTACTGGTGACAGTACAAGCTACTTATTCTGATGACAGAATAAGGCGGTGCCTCGTAACTTCACGTACACTCGTACGTGCAGAGGAAGACGGTAAGAAGAAGCGAGTACTTGGTTAGAGTAAAAAGTAGAACTGTATTTATAATAGTTAATGTCTGCAATAAATCACTATTTATCTTCATCTAACTATGTCTAAATACAAATGTGTAAATCAACTATCTGCTCACCACTCATTGCGTGCGTCTGTCGTGGCGCGTCTTCATTGGTTGATAGAATGGCCTAATCAACCAATTAGGATCTACTCGTAAGTGCTGCAGAATATTTGTCCTCATGACAATATTCTGAGAATATAACTCTTATAGTTATATTCTATTAACAATTTCTTATAAATTGTTATGTAACGATTCACCCCGTTACATCACCCCCCCTTAACCATCAGTCACTTTAGTGACTGATTGACTAAATGGATACTCGTCCCAAATCATTTGGGACAGGGTTTGCACTTGTTGGTCCGCGTCCACTTTCCAACATCTCATCGCATGGTTAACAAGCCCATGCGATGCGCGAGCAAGGCCGCCGAGAGCGCGTCCGCACGTCTCTGTGCGGACGCCGAAGCAGAAACCACAGCAACTGATGTCTCATCGGTTGCTGAAGCGACCCAGCCTGTGTCACTTGGTGATGCAGGCGCTGGTCATGAAGACACTCATGTCTTCACAGAGTACGAGCTCGGTGTCTCGTACTCTCCTGGTACGAAAGACGGATCCGTATCGATGGAGATTGAATCCAAGCCGCCTGCCAAGCGTGGCATGGATGATGCTTTGCGTCGTAGCATCTTTGGTTCATCTGATGAATCAGATGAACCATCGCCGAAGCGAAGGCGCTCGAGGTCGCGAGACTCAGGCGCTCACAGTGGTGTCGGTTCTCCTATGGACACCACTTCGCAATGAGGTGCCAGTACTTCTGTCGGCACGTCGCAGGAAGAGCGGGACCGCAGTGTGTTGCGTCTCGCTTCCGAGAAGAAGGCATGGATGCCTCCGAAATCCGTCATGGATCACTTGTCGGCGACGACGAGTGATCGTTATCGAACACGATTGTTCGATTCGTCAAGGATCCATCACCTTGACCCCAGCGCGAAAAACTATCGCGCTGAGAAAGAATTTTTCATCGATGCTTTCTTCAGACATCGATGGTACAGTGGGAATCACAAACGTGATGGTCCCTCACTACTTCAGGCGTGGAACGCCTACATCCATAACCTCGAGGATGTAGGTCGTGACGCTTGGAATGACAAACTTATCAAAGCTCGTGATAAGTTTGAAAAGCGAACCCCGACAGGTGCACGCTACAAGCTGCATCGTCTGTCAAGGGAGAAAGGATTACCCTGCCTCTCTTGGGGAGACTCGTGCCCATGTTGTGTGAACAACTCTGCACGAGCACCTAAGGAGGCTTACCTCCTTACCAGCCCGTGGTGGCGTGTGCGTATCACTACTGAGATGTACGAAGGGATTGACAACCTGAAATCCCTTTACGACCGTGCCGGGAAGACTTTCTCCGGCGGTCCTTCTGCGGCACAGGATGTGCCGCGTCGTACTGCTCAACCAGACCCAGTACGTCGATCATCAGTTGGGAGCGGGGCTCCCAAGAATCCCAGGACGGGGGATAGCCGCGCCACCGGACGAGATAACTCGTCCGACGTCCGTTCACGTCGCGGTCGTTCAACAGCTGCTCAACCAGATAGCGCTGGCCACCGCGAGAGTCCTCTATGGAGGTGGAGGAGGAGGGAAGACGCTCTCCACACAATGGTGAGGAAGCGTGTGTTCCCGAGAGCTTCTTTGATCGCGTAACGCAAGGGTTACGCGACGATCTCGAACATGAGCGGAATAGGCGTCTCCAAATGGCGGACGCTGCTTCGAAGCATCGAGATGAGTTTGCCTTTGCTCAGCTTGAGAACGAGAGAGCTCTGACATCTCTTCGTGACGAGCTAAGGGTAGCTCGTGGGATTGTTGATCGGTCTCGGGATGAGATAACTGCTCTTCAGACCCTTGTTGATGCCCACCATCGGGATCACAAGGCTCTCTGCGAGATGCTTGAGCGCAAGGGCGTTCTTCATCGGAAGAAGCAGCGTACTGATAGTACGGCTTAAGCCTACCAACGTAAAACGTGGGATGCGTTCGCATCTTACGTGGTAACTCGATCGTGTATGCATTGCCTAGGCGGTGCAATACACGAAATGGGCCGATGTACTTGGGTATTAGTTTACTGCTACCCAAGTTAGTCACTACATGCTTTGGTAGATTAACCGTAGACAGTAGGACTAAGTCACCTATATTAATTAAAAAAGTGTTTGCCCTTCCATTCTTGTCAGCGTTTTGCTTTTGCTTATCCACCGCTTCGGCGATGGAGTCTTGCACAAAACGGACTACCGTTTCACGAGCCAGTATGAACTCATCTGATGACTCGTTAGCTTCAGTGCGCTGTGAGTGCACTGCACCAACATCAATCTATTTCTGTAGTGAGGGCTTCCGCACTCTCACTGGCATCATCTTCTCCAGTCAGGGCTTCCGCACTCTCACTGGCATCATCTTCTTCAGTGAGGGCTTCCGCACTCTCACTGGCTTCATCTTCTTCGATATCGATGTTATCGATATCGGCATCAAGCGCAATGACCTCTTCGTCAGAGCGTGATGAGCGTGAACCAAATCGGTTTTGCTCGCGCGAGTCCCTCCCCCCCCTTAAGCCAGAGTTACACTCTAGTAAGGTGGGTACACGCGGTGGCGCAAGCCATTCACGTAAAACGGTGTATGTGTCGTGGACGCAAGCACCGAGTTGTTAATGGCAAACTCTACCATTGGCAAAAACTCACTCCAACTCTTAAAGGAGTGTACGTATCCTCGAAATATCTCTTCAAGGACACGATTGGCACGTTCCGTCTGACCATCTGACTCTGGATGATCAGATGTCGACATCTTCAAGCGCGTTCCGAGTGATTTGAACACGGAACGCCAGAAATCAGCAGTGAATCGTGGATCTCTGTCTGATACGAGTTCACGGGGCAACCCATGAAGTCGGAAGATGGTGTCAGCAAAGGCACAAGCACAGCCACTTGCCGTGATTGTCTCTGGTACAGCCACAAGGTGTACCATTTTGCTGAATCTGTCAACAAATACGAGAATACCCGTATTCCCGCGTGCGTCTTTGGGCAACCCGAAGACGAAATCCATTGAGATGGATTTTCAGCACTCAGCCGGAACCGGTAGAGGCTGTAAAGGTGCAAGCAGTGAAGGACTTGACTTCACTTGTTGGCAGACTTCGCATGAGCGAACATACTTTCGCACAAACTGATACTGGCGGGGCCAGTAAAAGTCTCGACGTACCGTGAGATATGTTTTCTCTCGGCCACGATGTCCTCCTATAGGAGCATCGTGACACTCGAACATGATCCGCAAACGCAGATCAGTATCATCTGAAATGACAACACGTGGTGTGTCACCAGAGACGGCTGTATAATACAGTAACCCGTTACGAGTAGTGTATCGATATGATGCAGATCGATACGCAGACGACAATCGTTTCAACGATTCTCGAGATGGTTGGGAGAGATGTGTCAACAACTTCACAATCTCACCATCTTGGGCATATGCCCGCCTCACATCATCATACCACGTTGTAGATGGGACTGAAGACGTCATAACCGCAACAGTGACTGTCTCACTGTTGGGTTTCGCGACTGTTTCAAATTCGGGACGACGTGAGAGTGCATCAGCGAAGACATTGAGTCGTCCTGGTTTGTACTCAAACGTATAGTTGTATTCCGCAAAGAATGACAACCACCGCGCCATTCGTTGTGAAAGGTGCAAGCTGTTCACTGCCGTGCGTAATGACGCATGGTCAGTGTAAACAATGAAGGGTCTATCTCCTAATAGATAGACTCTGAACTTCGCGAGTGCATACTTCATGGCAAGGAGTTCCTTGTCATGCACTGGATAGTTCCGCTCAGCTGATTGTAGCTGACGCGACTGATAGCAGACGACGCGTTCAACGTCTTCTAGGTCGTACTGCATTAATGCACAGCCGATTGCAAAATCGCTGGCATCACAGACCACATGAAATGGCCTGTCCTGATCGGCTATTGCTAGGACTGGGGATTGTATCAAGCTCTGCTTGATACCATTAAAGGAGCGTTGACATTCAGCGTTCCATAACCACCTCTAGTTCTTTTTCAACAAACGAGAGAGGTGCACAGTCATCTCGGCGTAATTGCGTGAATGCTTATGCAAATACGCCGCTAGCCCAAGGAATTTTCGAAGACCTTTGACATCGACCGGCACAGGCCAGTCGGTGATCGCCTTGATCTTTTCGGGATCAGGACGTACACCGTTCTTACCAACGATGCACCCAGGAAGTGGTATTTCGCTTGCTGCAAATATACACTTCTTGAGGTTTGCATACAATTGATGCTTTCGCATGATTGTAAGAACTTGTCGGACGTGGTACCTGTGAACCTCAACGTCCGACTTTCCATCCATAGCTCGACTATGGATGAATACGTCATCGAAATAACTCGGCGCAAATTCTCGTACTGGTCTCAACAGATGTGTATCACATCTGTTGAATGTGGCAGGGGCATTACTAAGCCCTTGTGGCATTACTAGCCATTCCCAGAGCATGCCGCTAGGCGTGCTAACTGCGGTATAGGGTATATCCCGTTCTCGCATAAGGATTTGATAGAAGCCATCAATCAAATCCATGGACTAAAAGATGGTACTCTTTGACATACCATCAATGATTACGTCCTTCCTCGGTATCGGCGTCGGAGCCGGTACCGTTGCAGCGTTCAATTTGTTGAACGCGTGCACTATCCGCCACCCTCCTGTTGCTTTTCGCACACAGAAGGTCGGAGAGCTATGTGGGGAAGTTGATTCCCTCACATGGCCCGCTGCTAAACGATCGGCAAAGAATTTGTCGATCGCAAGTACTTGTTCACGAGGCAGTGGCCACTGCTTCATGACACAGTACTTCGAGCCTGGTTTAAGCTCGACCTCGTGTCGAATGCATTTATCCTTCGGTAATTCGCACGGAACAGTTTCAGGGAATACATCCTTGAATTCAACCAAATCTTCATAGAGAGGATTTTCCTTGAGCGATTCCCATGATTGGGACTCATATCGCTCAATTCGTGTCTTTTCATCTAGGACACTCTCGTCCATAGATGAACTACTGAGAACTCTCTCGTTCTCAGCGACCACTGTTGCTGACCTTATGTCGGTTACACACTCGTCGTCAGCGACGAGTATGCAGATCTGCTTGACTTTGCCACTACGCAGATCACGCAAGAACCTTTTATGTTCGAGCGTTGGCAACTGAGTGATCTCCGAAGTCAACTTCGGAGCGCATCAAGTGTATAAGCGCCTACACTTGATCCGTTATTGACTATGACATTCAATGTCTCTGTCATTTCCTGGGGACTTATTCCTTCAGGCTTCGAAATACTTATTACTTCGGCTTCCCGGGGACTTATTCCCGCGGGTTTCGGAAAAATTATTTCCCCCGTAATTTTAATCTTGGGACTTGTTCCCTTTACTCCCTCTAGCTGGGGTTGCGCAACCACAGCGAGATCCTCTACGAAAGACTCTCCAGTCGATCTAGGATTATCGTTTCGCTTAACCTGAGCGATCGATTGTTTCGCTTCTAGATGTTCCCCGCTAGGGATACATCTTTGTCCCAGTCCACCCGACTTATTCGAGTGGTGGACCTTCGGCGCAGCCTGTGCTTCCTCACAGCTGCCGGGACTTTGCTCCGAAGTGTAACCGTTTGGTACACTAAGGTTTTGTGCAGTCGTACTAACGACCGTACCACAAGTGAGGCCATCGCACTCACTCGTAGTACATCCACACGCTTGTGGACGCTCCAAAACGTTCATCAGATGGCCATCTGATGAACAAGCGGC